TTTCATGGCAATGGATGACATGATATAAAATAGCCAATGTATATATGAATCATCCAAATTTCAATAGGCATTCATCAAGAAAGTGTAAATCTCAATGTTGAGTTCAATGATGGTTTGAATGAACCTAGCAGAACATGACTTAGCAAACATAGCATTATTTTGATTTCATGAAATCAATTAACAAATTCAACTTGTTGAACACACATCACACCTTAAAATATATGGAAGTTAAGCTTAAAGGCGTGTTGGAGGTTATACCTTCAGTTACCTCTTTAGAATCTTCACCCATACATTACCTCTCATGTTCATCTTGGTGGTTCTCATTTCATCATTTGTCTTCTTGTGGGGACTGATTTTGCTATTAAGATTGAACATTCTTGTTGTGCATCTTCTCTCCAAGTCCTTGGTTTTCTTTGAGGTTTCACCTACAAAATAACTCGATTTCTTTCTTGGTACCCATACTCTTTTGGGTCCACATAGGGATTAGCCTTAAGAACATTTAATCTCATAAGTAGCTTAGGAGGATCAAATATGGTTTTGAAGTTCTTTTGTTTCTTGATAGGATCAAAACCAATGCCCACTTTATCAAAAACACATCTTTGATTAACAAGAAGTTTGTTGAGGTTTTCTTTTCCTTTCACAAAATTTTCAAGAGCTTTGTTCAAATTCTCAACTTTGTTTTTCAAAACATTTTTCTCATTAGCAATAGATGTAAAGTCATTTTTTAAAGTAGAATTTTCTATTTTCAATGCGTCTAAATCATTTGAAGGAGAAGTAACTAATTTCTTTAACATAGAATTTTCAGCACAAACATTTCTAAATTCATCATGTAATTCATTGAATACACTTTCAAGTTCTTCATAGTTAAAGATTACCTCATCATCTTCTTTTACACCATTAAGCATAGATGAGATGCTTCATTGTTGTTGACTTCCTCATCAGAGCAACTTTTATCATCTTCTCCCGTAATAGCTTTCTTTTTTTTTTTGCTTCCATCCATCATTGTAAGTTCATGAGCCATGAGTGAGTCTAGGAGTTCTTCAATGCTCAATCTTGTTAGGTCCTTTGCTTCTTGAATAGCCGTAACCTTAGCTTCCCAATTCTTTGGCAAGGACCTAAGAATTTTTCTCATAGGCTCAACATTAGTATAAGATTTACCAAGAGATTTTAGAATAATAATGATGCTGGTAAATCTATAAAACATCTCAGAAATATATTCGTGGAATTCCATTTTAAAGAGCTCATAATCATGAATAAGTAAATCAATACGTGATTCTTTTACTTGACTAGTTCCTTCATAGGTAATTTCAAGTTTATTCCAAATCTCTTTTGCTGTATCACAACCAGAAATCTTTTTGTACTCATTTGCATCTAATCTACGCATAAGGATAAGTTTGGCCTTAGCATTAGCTTGTAGAAGTTTATAGTCATGTTCATCAAATTCATCTTCAGATGTAGGCACTCTAACATTGTCTACTACATTGGTAGGGATTGTAGGACCTTTTGTGATAATGAGCCATAAAGCATAATTAGTACCTTGAAGAAACAAAGTCATTTTTTCTTTCCATGGATTATAATTACTTCCATCAAACAAGGGTGGCCTATTGGTGACTTGACCTCCAACACTGCTAGTACTAGCTATGGTTGCCATGGATCAAAAACTCTAAGATTGTTAAATCTAAATAAGAGCCCTAGCTATGATACCAATTGTTACCCAAAAAGCAACCTTTTAGGTTTCTACAAATCAAAACTAACAATTCCCCAATAAAAGCTTACTAACTGGTAAAACAGATAAAGATCAAGCAAAACTTAAAACAATAAGTGAAATGGCAACAGATTAGCTAGCACAGAGAATATATCAATGGATATCAAATAACTAACAAAATATGTTCTAGATAATTTAGTAGTAAATTCTAGCAAACACAAACAATGGAACCAAATATATCAGTTAGCTAGAGCAGTAGAGTAAAGAGATTAGGGAAGAGAAATGCAAATAGGATTTATAGTGGTTCGGCTCCAACCAAGCCTACATTCACTCCTCAAGCTTTACTTTAGATTTTTCACTATTTTCTAGCTTCACAGGGGTGCTAGCAACCTTTTCACAAATGGAGCAATCCTCCACAAATTTTTTTATTTCACAGGGGTATTAGTAACCTCATACATGGGGCAATCTTCCACAGATTTCTCGAGCTTTACAAGTTTGCTAGTGACCCTTTACAAGATTGAAAATGAGTGTTTTGCTTTCAAAGAAAGCTACAAAAATATCTTCACAGATAGATATGCAATGTTGATGCTCAGAAGATATAACAGTAACCCTCTTAAAGGTGAATAAGCCTAAAGCTTAAGCTCTGTGTGCCACCAGGTCTCAAGCTCAAAACCGTGAATGATCAGCCCTTTGAGCAAGCTTTTCTTTGTTCCAGCATTACAACCTTCAAATATTCACCAGCCGGCCCACCGATTTTTGAAGGAGATAATTACCTTTTTTGGAGCACTCAAATGAGAACCTTTTTCAGCCAATCTGCCCCTCAGCACTACGAGTGCAGCCTTCGACCTTACACTTTTTTCCCTCCACCATGCCGAATGCAAAGCCCACTCCATTTCTTTATTTTTTTTTTCTTTTACTTTCCAGACCACTCACCGACACACACATTGATTTGCCCATGTATATCTCTTTTCTCTCTCTCTGCCACTTTCAAACCCTCTTTATCTTTTATATATATATATATCTATATCTCTTTATTATACTATATTCCCAAACACTCATCACACGCATGCACATGGCAGACACCACTCCACTTTCTTTCTTTTATTTTATTTATTTCTTTATTTTATTTTTTTCATTAAAAAAAAAAAACATTGCAAATTTTCACACACTGTGGGCCAAGCACCCATGTGAACCCCTCTTCTCTTTTTTTCCCTCACTCTCTCGTTTTGATTTCACATCTCTTCTAATTCTTTTTTTCTTTTTTTTTATTTCTCTCTCACTTTATTTTTCATCTTTTTTTCATTGTTATTTCTTTGCACCAAAAAAAAAAAAAAAAAAAAAAAAAGAAAACGGAAAATCTCTCTATTTTTTCCATACATCAAATTTAACAGTAATTTTTGAAGGTGAGTGATGTATCAAGGTTTAAGGAACTCTTCAGGTTACTCTAAGGATGAGTTTAAGACTGATGATAAAATCAAAGAAATTTCTTGGCTCAAGTCTCTCTAATTTTTCTGATAACCTCTCACGGGTAGATAAGGTTAAGGCTAAAGGCTCAGTGTTTGATTTACTAAAGGATGAATGTAAAACTCAGATGAAGACCTCTTCAGATAACTTAGAGAAGATGGAATATGTGAGTGATGCAGGATAGAAAATTTTCTAAATTCATTGTTCACTTCTCTGTTTCTGTCTCTCTTTTTATCTTCACTACACAGAGTTCTGTACGTATAGCAGAGCTCAGTGTTCTGTTCTGTCTGACAAGCTCATCCTCTTCTTCTCGTTGAGGAGATGGGATGATGATGGGTGAGATGGTATACAAATGGATGCTCAATAGTTGTCTCTAGCCTATGTGAGATTTGCCTGATGAATGATAGGTGTCTGATGCAAACCATTCTATCAGTTCACAGAATTTGACAACTATGCACAAGGAGGTCGTCCACCCGGATGTCCATTGTGACCATTTTCTCTTGGTGGTCGTCCGCCCGGACGTCCACCCGGATGACCCCACGGTCGTCCGGTCATGAAGGATGACTATTGTAATCGTTGAGCATACTGCTGGTCTGACAACCGGTGCGAAGCAGAACTGAACTGGAGCGAAACTGGCCGATTTTGGCCTAGCTGGTCGACCGCCCAGTGTAATTTCAGCCTCCTTTGTTTTAGCTACTTCTGCTGCTGTTTGCTGTTGTTATGGGACCTCTTTAACACCTGTTTAAGCTTCTTTTTTGGCCTTCAAAAACATAGTTAAAGATAATCATAGATTATAATGATTTAATCAAACAATAAGTTTTCAATAATAATCCATTTCTCAAAATAAATCAAAACATAATCAAAACAAAATAAAAAACAATCATCAAAATCATGTTATTCATGCTATGACTAACAGTATGATTGAAACACATATATGTTGTGTATACATTAATATATTACATGCATAGGCAAGCTCTGATTGTATGCATATTGAGTTGGATAGTTGCATTTCCTTTTTTGCATATAATTTTGATGTTTCACCCAAGTTTGACCCTTGAGCTTTGTGGGAATAATGCTTCTATAATCTTGAAGTTCATGGACTATAGAATCACTAGCCAATTATTCATCGATTTAGGATTTAGAGTGGGAGTGGCTATTTGTAGGTTGATAACATCACTAAAGTCGGTTACTTGTCCCCCCAAAAATAAAATCACTGAACTCAGATGCTGAATCTTAGCAGCATGTAATTCCCAAGTTCCATTTGGTTTTATTGAACTAGAAGCTGATGATGAAGGCACTCTGGCGTCTGGTTGATCTGCTGTCTGGATTGACTACTCTATTCTTAGCTTTCTTAATTATAGTTTGTGAGATGCATTATATTCCTCTCTTGGCTTGCTGCAAACTTTCTTTAGAAAGCTTGTGGTTTTATGCTTCATGAACTTTATTGATTCCTCGTGGTTGACTTTCTATTAAAAACTGTGAGAATCCCATATAGATTATGACCAGATCGATTCTTTTTTGAAACCTTTATATGTGCAATTCCCTCGATGCCAGAGCATATTCTCATAATCTTTTGTACGTACTTTTTAATAAAATCTCGTATTTTTTATCTTCTTCTAGACCTTCGGAATAGTTTTTTGGTTGTGCATACAGCTCCTCCCAGTTCAAATCTCTGCGTTTGTTGAAGTTCTTAATCAGAGATTGGGACACCGTGTTTGAGTGAAACTGTTATCTGTTGTGCCAAAAAACAGGAATCTAAGCCAATAATATTTTCTATTTGTTTTCTTATCTCAGTGCTGTATTTCCTGATGGCTGGAACTTGATCTTGCAGGATTCTGTCTATTTCTTGGATTTTTAATCGATCGTATGCACCATTATCTTCGGAAATACATAGGACTAAGGGAAACAATTGGAGCTTCGAAAGAGGAAGTTGAAAGGCTCAACAAAGAGAAGCTGCAGCTTAAAGAAAAGGAAGAGAAAGCTACCAAGGAATTGAAGCTCATGCAGAAAGAAATGTCTAGTTTAAAAGATAATTTGAAGAAACTTAAGTTGGAGTCCGAAGAGAAAGACAAAAGGGTTGAAACAGCCGAAGCTCATGTCGCTTCCCTCCAGAAACAATCTGCTGATCTGCTTCTTGAATATGACCGGCTCTTAGAGGACAACCAAAATCTTCAGAGCCAAGCACTGGGACATCGGACTTGAGAAATGCTTGCAACATTCCAAGAATTCAAGACTTGACAAATTATTTCGAAGGATTCAAGTTTGATGAGTTGGTCTTTGTTTGGGGGTGACATTGATCAAACATCTCCGTAATTTAAAGGAAATCATCGTGGGTTGGCGCTTTTAACGGAAGAAATTTGAGTTCTGGAGGGGAGGGATTGACGCAATGTTGTTGAAAATTTCGTACTTCTTGTCATATCTAGAAATTTTAAGGTGTTTAGCCTTATGTTGTATTTTGAACCCGACTTTCAATTTTCGTTTTGTTTTTTTGTTTTCATCTTACATGATTTTGGTTGAGGTTGGGGATGAGATTCAGACTTTCAGTAAATTTTGAGGTTGCTGGGGCCCTTCACAGCATGCCTCTACAATGGCTTCATTTGGGATTATGGATTTTTAGCTAAATTAGTTATAAAAAGATAAAATGAATTAAAAAATAAATAAGATAAAATGTTACATTCAAATCATAATCATTTTATTTTTTTATGAACAAAAGTTAAAAAAAAAAAAAAATCGAAGTTAAAATAATTAAAAAAGTCACATTTCAAATGGCAGCCATCGATCCAAACAAAGAACTCAGAAGGCTTACCATGGTGGCTCCTATGGGGGGCTTACCATGGTGGCTCCTATGGGGTTATCGTGTTCTTACTGTTTTGTTGAAAAAAAATAAAAAACTGATCATTCATTATTTTGGATAATAAATTTATGAAAAAAATTTGTGGGAGTAAAAAAATGAGAAGGGGGAAAAAGTGTGCAAATTTGTGAAAGCAAAAAAAAAATGAGGAGAAGAAGTGTGCCTGCAGTAACATCCGAACACAGCCAGAAAGTAAACATATATAAGTTAACAAGTTAACAAAATAAAATGTAAAACATAATTATTTTATTTTTTCTTTCAAAAAAAATAAAAATAAATTAAAAAATTCATTCCAAACGAGACTTTTTAATTAAAATAGTTAAAAAATTAAAAAGTTAAAAAGTCAATTCACATTCCAAATAAAGGCATATTCTATCTGGAAATGTTACAATCTGTGTACATAATTTTTTGTTGAAATGATGTAGTAATACTATGAAAATATATTGTTGTATCATAAACTATCATAACATATAGCCTGTGTTTGGCAAGTGGGTTTGCAGACTTTTTTGGCTATTTTAGCCACAAAAAACAAAATAGGTTATTTTAGTCATAACAAACAAAACATCACATCCAACCCATAATCATTACATTCTTCTCTCACAAAAAAACTCAAAAAAGCCAAAAAGTCCTTCCCAAACCAAGTTTTTAAGCCCAGACTAAAATAGCCAAAAAAGCCAAAAAGCCAAAAAGCCAACCCACTTCCCAAACGGAGGCATAATATTTTTATTTCAAAAATTATAAATTATCATAACACTATCAATCAAGAAATATTTACAATATAATAGTCAATTTAAAAAAAAAAAAATTGTCCTTATTACGCAATGCCATTTGAATGGATATTATATTTTAAAATGAGAAATTTTAATAGAATATAAAATTATTTATTTATAGAAGATTATCAGTTCCATTAAATTATCAAAGGGTAATACCATTCACCGACATAGAAAAGTGTTTCATGAGATTATATTAAAAAATCATCAAGGGACGTCACGGACAGTTATTAATATTAATATATGTATAAAAAAAATGTTAAAACACTATATAGGCGTGTGTTGACTTACCAAATCTTACCAAACATAAAAATACAAATAAAACTGGCAACAGCTTGAAGCCACCCGCGAAAGCGGATACCCAATGAATTTGGGCCACGTGGTTCTACACCAGTTGCAACTTAGGTTTTGTTTGGCATTGGTTTTTTGGAGTAAAAAAATAAAAAATAAAAAAATTAATAAAATAAAATATCACATCTAAATAATAAAAATTATTTTTTTTCTCATAAAAAATAAAAAAAATAAAAAAAATTAATTCAAATGAATTTTTTAGCTTGAGCTCAAATAATCCAAAAAATTCAAAAACTAACAAAAAAAGCCGCATGTCAAACGGGCAACTTGTGCCTGGTGTGAGAACTTTCACTTTTAATTAAAAAATTATTATAAATTATTATATTGTTTTTTTTAAAAAAAAAAATAAAAATATTATAAAAATAATTTTTTTCCAAAAAAAAAAAAAAAACAAAAACAAATTACTTACCCCTCCTTTGATGTTAGCTAAATTACAAATTCTTTCCTAAGGTTTTTAAAATTGCATTCCGTCCCTGAGGTTTATATATTTGCATAATAATTTAACTCTTACCGTTAATTAAACATTAAGAATAGTTAGCTGATATTACTAAAATATAAATTGATGAACGATATTGTCTCTGTTAAAATTCTATTGATATATTAACAAAATTTACAAAAGAGTTACGGTAGATGGAAAAAAAAAAAAATTGAAACCAAATTTAATTTGTTGTTTGGAAAAAATTTCAGAATTATAAAAATAAAATAAAAACTAATTTAATGAAAATAAATATGAAAAATATATATTTAATTTTTAAAAATTATTTCTAACCATTCAAAAGATAAAATTATATAAAAATAATTATTATTTTTTATTTCTTAACCAAACTAATTTTTAATAAAAATAAATTTCTAAAAATTAAATCAAATATATTCTAAGAATTTTTTAACAAGTGATTTATTGTGTTTTTAACTTATTTAATTATTTGTTAATTTTATGATATTTTCACCATCTGACACTACAACATATAAGAGTTTTAAAGATCAATTCTTTTGACTTCTAAAAGTGAAGATTTTGTTGCAAAAGATATTTAGGGTATGTTTGGTTTGTGTTTGAGAGATGTGTTTTAGAGATAAAAAGTACGAAAAGTTGTTTGATTTGGTTTTTTTCAAAAGATGTTTTAGAAAATTATTTTGAGAGAGAGTTTTGAAAAAAGTGATTGATTTGATGTGTGTGTGAGAGAGATTTGTTTGGAAAACTTGTTTGGATTACAAGTTTTGAGAAATTTTTTTGAAAAAATTTGTTTGGTTTGATTACTTTTAAAAACTTATTTGTAGAGAAAATTTCCCAAATTTTTTTCAGAAATACAAACCAAATGAACCCTTAGGGACTAATTTCTATCGTTACGAGGATAGTCATTAAAAGGTCACCCTAAAAATTCAAAAATAAGGCTTTTAGCGATAAAATTTTGAAAGTGTCAATAATAAATAGACTTTTAGAGACAAAATAATTTGGTCTCAAAATAGTTTATTTTTCAAGACAAATAATTGATACAAAAAAAGATAATAATTAATCACTATTGTTTATTTTTCGTTACTAAAAATATAATAACGACATTTTTAGTAACAAAAATATTTGGTCCCCTAAAAATAATTATCCTTAAATTTTGGTTTCTAAAACCTTAATTTTTTTGTAACGTGCTAAGTGTATTTTCATTTTAGTTTTGCTTTTTATAACTTATTTAAAAATAATAATTTAACTAAATCTCAGAAAAATATGTAATTTAACTAAATCTTAAAAGATGTAGATAATTTGTTTTTATTTATTAAAAAGATATTTTAATTAATTTATAATATCCGTTAACGACGTCAATTGCGAAGAGATAAAATATAATTTTTAATATTCTAAGCCTCCGTTTGGGAAGTGGGTTGGCTTTTTGGCTTTTTGGCTTTTTTGGCTATTTTAGCCTGGGCTAAAAAGCTTGGTTTGGGAAGGGTTTTTTGGCTTTTTGGCTTTTTTTGTGAGAGAAGAATGTAATGATTGTGGGTTGGATGTGATGTTTTGTTTGTTATGACTAAAATAGCTTATTTTGTTTTTTGTGTCTAAAATAGCCAAAAAAACCTGAAAACCATCTTGCCAAACAGAGGCAAGAAAATTTGTAATTTCGTTAAATGGCAAAGGAGGAGTAGGTATTTTGTAAAAAAAAAAAAAAAAAAAAATTTAGTTCGAATTCATCTCTTTTTGGAAAGAGATTCGCAAGGGGGCTTTTTCTGAAAAGAAACTCGTTAGAATGAATTCGGGCTAAATTCGGTAGCCGCAGCGGTGGTGCAGTTGTATATTGAACATGGTTGCACTACATGAATGTTGGGGACCACTCGCCCTGGCGCGTGCGATTTCCTACATTACGCTCTTTGCTTGTTTCTTGCAAAAAGTCATCATCAGATCCAACTCCGGAAGTGGAGTAGAAGAGAAGAGAAGAGAAGAGAGTGAAAATTCATAAAAATCGGTAATGGCGAAAGAGAACCACAACCACCGACCGTCTTCAATGTCAATGATTTAGGGTTTCATTTTCATCATCAGCTTCTTCTTACTCTTTCTGTTGCGCTGCCCTCTCTGCTTCTCCACTTCAATCCCAATGAGGAGGTATCAATCTCTCTCTCTCTCTCTCTCTCTCTCTCTCTCTCTATGTATATATATATGTATGTATGTATATCAATCTTTGTACATTGTGTTTTGTTTTGCTGAAATTGACAGAGCTGGGGATGCATTGGGAAGGAGATATGGGAATCGGCAGCAGCAGCTGAAGCAACAACTCAGTTTGGGAATGAAGGGACTGCTGGGTCGTTTGTCTGTTGCAGTGATCGTCTTGTTGATATGCACTGTGTCTTTGTTCTCTACATTTCAAGGGAATAATCGTTCCCTTGAGGCACTTCAGGTCTGTTTATTCAATTCAGTTCCATTGTTGTACTCTTGATTTATCCTTATCCAATTGTCATGTTCACCATGAATTTTTAGAGATAAAAAAGACTTGGAAATCATAACTGAATCCATTGCTGTACTCAAACCCTGTTGCTCAGCTATAGCCCTGCAAAAGAATAAATACCAATCACTCGCATTGTATATCGAATGGCTGTATACACATATACATATATATATATATATATATGTATGTATGTATATGTATATATACTAGCAAGAAGTTACATAATTTAATCTGCAAGAAGTTACAAAATTTGATATGAATTTGATCTCGGCAATTATATGAGGCTAGTTATAAAATTTGTTGTGGATAGTTTGACAAACTTTTGGAATGAAAAAAGTTTGACAAAGTTCACACCAAGAAAGGTGTGTGCTTTTATATAATAGAATAGATGTATATATATACAAGCATTTAATTGCTACCTCTTCAATTATTTTGCACTGTTATTTGTTTTTTCCATGGTCGTTCAAGAGAAATTAATCATTTTTTATTTGTCTTATAGCATGTCACAGTAGATGAACTTTGGAGCACTGCAGCTTCTGGTGGCTGGAGACCATCATCTGCTCCACGATCTGACTGGCCCCGTACATGACTTCTTGCAATCCCTTTTAATTTGTTATTGTTGTGGCATGAGCTTGTTGATTGTGGATTTATAATTGTAAACTGTGTTTGGTTTTCCATTCTAAAATATATACTTTGCTTGTTTTAATTGTGGCAGCACCTCCAGTTAAGAGCAATGGTTATTTGCGTGTTCGTTGTAATGGTGGTCTAAATCAGCAACGCAGCGCGGTATGCATCTTCTCTCTAGAATAAGATATATGCAAAATACGCATCCTTTCTTTACATAGGGTTCTATATTGTAATCACTCTGTGAGACTTGCGAAAAACATGAAACTTGGGCTTATAATTAGTGCCTTGGGATGAAATGAAGTGCATTGTATCTGTCACTAAGGTTATTTAGTTGAATTTGGTTATTTAGTATTCTGGGCTCTTCTAATGTTCATCTTGAGGGCTACTGTAAGGTCTGCAATTGTAATTATGTTATGACATACAACAAAACAGGGAGTCTTCATCATCTAACTTGGCTATATGACCATTCTCCATTCCCATGGCCATTAAAACATTGTGGTTGGTGACTTATCACAAACACAAAGGCATGGTATATATAGAACCAATTCGTTTGATTTGTACCTCGATCACATGAAGTAGAAAATTCTTATAATTTTTACTAAAAGGAGGAAATGACACATTCTATATTTGGCTGTTCCAGATATGTAATGCTGTTCTAGCTGCACGAATCATGAATGCTACTCTTGTGTTGCCCGAGTTAGATGCTAACTCCTTCTGGCACGATGACAGGTACTATGTGTGTTTAGATATGTTTTCTATATTGAAGCATAAATGAAATATTCTTACAAATCAAAAGGAAAAGAAAATGATGAACTCTTTATCTAATGGGACTAGATTCCATTATTGCATACAGTGGCTTCCAAGGTATCTATGATGTTGAACATTTTATCAAGTCACTGAGATATGATGTACATATTGTGGAAAAGCTTCCTGAAATTCACAAAAATGGGAAGACCAAGAAGATGAAAGCCTATCAGGTTAGACACTGGTTTAATGAAAGTTGAACACCTAAATGTCAGCTTCTCAAATGGTTTTTTAACTGTTTCTAAACTTTTCAGCTTCGGCCACCAAGAGATGCTCCTATTAGTTGGTACACAATGGATGCATTAGAGAAGATGAAGGAACATGGTGCCATTTATCTCACTCCATTTTCACACCGTTTAGCAGAAGAGATTGATGATCCTGAATATCAGCGGCTGAGATGCAGAGTTAATTATCATGCCCTTAGGTTTAAACCACATATCATGCAATTGAGTAACTCAATTGTCAGTAAGCTCCGTGCGCAAGGTCACTTCATGGCAATACACCTTCGGTTTGAGATGGATATGCTTGCATTTGCTGGGTATGTTTGCATCTTGACCCTCTTGTTTGCATACAGTATTTGATATTTTTAGTACTAATTTTTCATTGAAAACACAGCAACATTCTTTCTGTTATGCAGGCTTTCTGTGCAAACAAATATGTTTGAAATTGTGTTCATTTGAACAATATCTGGAAAACCATGTGCTATTCCAAAATTTTCCAAATCAGAATATGCATCTCATCTTGGTATTCTGTTATATTAGTGCATCTTCAGAAAATCTAGACTAGAGTATTTGTGCGTTCTTGTAGATTCACCTGTCGGCCAAGTATTTGTTAGTAATGCTTGGTGATTCCCCTTTAGAATTTTTTTAGTTACGAATCAAATAAAGTTTTCTAAATTTTTTTACAGGTGCATTGATATATTTAACCCTAAAGAACAAAGCATATTGAAGAAATATCGGAAGGAAAATTTTGCAGAGAAGGAACTTGTTTATAGTGAAAGAAGAGCTATTGGGAAGTGTCCATTAACTCCAGAAGAGGTATGGTTCCCATGTTCTTTCCTATTCCATTGCTCCATTTTTTTTTTGTCTGTATGCAACCGATGCATGACTAAACTAAAAAGTTAGATGTCTACAAGACTACAACCTAGTCAATCTTCTCAATGCAATTGGCAAAAGACGAGACAATACAAGTGACGATATTTTATAGTTAAGTTCCACATTCCAATGAGGATAAAATCGTTTGTGCATTTAGTTGTTTCTTTATAAACGACCACTTGGATTCAATCTGATCAAAACTTGGTACAAGAAATTGTGCTTGTGCTTACTGGTGCTTCCATCATCGCAGGCGAGTGCTTACTTCTGGAGAAATGTTTCTCCTCAAGGAAAATTTATGGAAGTACCAATGATTAGTTGAGCAATTTTGTGAAAGCATGTTGAATTTGAATGTTCTTCGGTTACATGTTTAGAGTAAATAGTGACTCTTGGATACAGGATCTTAATATATCATTTGGTTGTTGAAAAAAATGAAGGCTTAGAACATGAGGTGAATTTAAGACTCATTTGGAGTTTAGGTTTAATCACTTATGGGACTTTGGAATACCACTGATCATATAAATGCCTCAGCTACATTCCAAGTTGGAAGTGTTGAATTGTTGTTCTGCCAGTATCCATCTGGCTACTCCAATCACTATCTTCAGAATTGTAACCATCCGTTCTGCTAGTAAGTGTTTCAAACAGATTATCATACCATCGATGGAAGACACCCTTGCTATCCATCTTTTGCTTCTTGCACTTTGTATAGCGACTAACTTGAAAGTTTGTCCAAGTAAATGTGTAACCAGATATGGACACAGTTTTTCCATTTAGCCTTTTAAGGGTTTATATGTGTAGCATATATTGTCATCATACCCGCTAATTACCCATATGATGTTATGTTTTGCTCTGTTGCTAATTTCCAGCATTTTAGCACAGCTATTTTAGAGTGCTACACCTCAGTTCTGGTGGCTGCTTTTTGCAGGTTGGTCTCATCTTGCGTTCCATCGGATTTGACAATTCCACAAGAATATACCTTGCAGCAGGTGAACTCTTTGGTGGAGATCGTTTCATGAAGCCATTCAGAGCACTTTTCCCTCACCTGGAAAACCATAATACGGTGCTCCCTGCAGAAGAGCTGTCTGGAAACAAACAAGGATTGGTGGGCTCTGCCGTCGATTATATGGTCTGTCTCCTCTCTGACATTTTCATGCCAACTTATGATGGCCCAAGCAACTTCGCCAACAACCTTATGGGTCACCGACTCTACTATGGCTTCCGTACCACAATCCGACCTGACAGGAAAGCCCTGGCTCCAATCTTCATCGATCGGGAGAATGGCAAGACTTCCGGTTTTGAAGAAGCAGTCAGGCGTGTCATGTTCAACACTAACTTCGGTGGGCCTCACAAGAGGGTCCAGCCCGAGTCTTTCTATACGAATTCTTGGCCCGACTGTTTCTGTCAGACATCACCTAAAGATCCTGCTGATCAATGCCCCCCAGAGAACGTTCTAGAAATACTCAACAGTCGGTTGCACAGGGAAGAAACTGATACGGTGGAACTCGTTAGCAGATCAAACGTGACTAGTTATCCTGATTCAGAGAACTAACATCATTTCGAAAGTAGTAGTTTTTGACTGTCATTCTTTTTTTCCAGAACTGCAACAGAAAGCATCAAAGTGGGAGATATCAGTATTTGGATTGTGCTTCTTGCCCTTCTTTCTTGTACACGGGGCTCATAAACTTTGGAGAATTAGATCATGGGTTCTGCAATCTCAGAACTGTGTGGGAATGTGATTTGTGGCCCTGTAACAACACCTCTAAAGAAAGTAGATTATTTTGCCTTTAAATTTTTGGTACATTGGAAAAAGATTATTTTGCCTTTGTAAGACACTACAGTGTAGCCTTTTGCCATGATGATAAAATATATTACTTAAAAAAAAAAAAACAGTAATTATAATTAATTTAAAATTTTAAAACACAACTCACAAATAATTATATATAATGTGTATATGTGAATTTGATGAATGCTATTATGATAATAGTTTTTCAATTCTGTTAACAGGTCTGAATGCTATGATAATAGTTTCACCTCTCCCATTTCATGACATCGATTCACATTCTAATGCATTCGAATTTGATGTTAGAGTTAATTGATTTAGTTTTTTTAGTCACAGAGTCAATTGGTATAGTTGTAAATTTTAGTAAGATGATCCTGTCTTATGCAATGGTTCACGATTTGAATAGTTATTTGCTGCAGTTTCAATTCAATGGTGACGTCAATGTATGGTCGGTGTGCCTGTCATCATCTTGGCCTGCCACGTTTTCTAATTGATTTGGACTTAAACACTGAGATGATCATGGAAATGTCCAGGTTCTCTAGCATCTTCTCATTTTAGACTCGTCTTCTATGATAAAGACTTGGGCTTCTGTTCTGTGAGATTATCATCTCACATATGCCCAGCTAAACGTCCTTTGACAATTCCACGCTAATCCATACACGTCTATTGCATACTTTTGAATTCCAATTTCTCCACTGGAGCACTTTGACTCCTATTACTATTGAAAATATGACTTCAAGACTACAATCTGTGCAGAAGATAGAAGAACAAGAAGCTGTTCCATTTTTTTTTTTTTTGAAAAAATGGATAGCAATCATCAATATCTTATGAATACAATCTTGGTTCTCATATTGTCATGTTTGTGCTTGGGAGGGCCTCAGACTTCCCGTGCACGGACTACAGACACCATCAAACCAGGCCAAGTCCTTGGATTTCAAGACCAGTTGGTTTCATCAAATGGGTTGTTTATGTTAGGCTTCATCACCCCGAGCGGGTCGAGTTACAGCTATTTAGGAATTTGGTACAACAACGACCCTTACGACAACCATACTGTTTGGGTTGGTAACCGTGACAGTCCAGTACTTGGTTGGTGGCAATACAAATCTTACTATGGATGCTGATGGTGTTTTGAAGATTAAGAGTCAAGGAGTGAGTTTTGATTTGGTGAGTCATGATCAAGCTGCTCAAAACTCATCCGCCACTCTAAATGATTCCGGCAACTTTGTAGTGACAGAGCTCAACACAGATGGATCTGCCAAACAAGACTTGTGGCAAAGTTTTGATTATCCTACAGACACGCTCCTGCCTGGGATGAAACTAGGTGTGAACTTCAAAACAGGGCAAAGCTGGTTACTCAGTTCTTGGATAAGCAATTCAGATCCTGCTCGGGGGACTTTTACTCTGGAATGGAATGGTACGATAGGACAACTAGTCATGAAACGCAGGGGGGAGATCTACTGGACTACTGGCCCATTAAATGTCATGAACCGGAGCTTTGAATACATTCCTTGGCTAAGTTTTGATTCTCGCACCAGTATCTACAATTTCGGCAGTGCTTTTAATGAGAATGAGAGTTACTTCAATTTTTCTGTCCCAATAGGGACTATTTCAAGGTGGGTTTTGGGTTCAAATAGGTCACTTGTTGATGGCGAAAGACCTTCACTCGGACCAGCTGGTCCCTGTGATGGATTTGCATCATATCCAGGGTGTGAAGCAACGAGGCCGTCACAGTGTAGGACTAGCAACCAAACGTTCCTTCAACGATCTGGTAGCTTCTGGCAATCAGGAGACTCAGATGGAAATATCAGCTTGGGTCTGAGTGATTGTTGGACTAAATGCTGGTACAATTGCTCTTGTGTTGGTTATAGAGTTCTCAATTCCAATGGAACTGGATGCCAGTTGTGAAGCAGTGACTTAACTTTTGTAAAAGATTCAAGAGGTGTTGCGCCCTCCATCTACGTTTTAAATTCAACCTTAAATGAGACCTCATCGACCAATATTAGCCCCACAAAAAACTCCGGTAAGAGGTTCAAGTGTCACGTTCTTTCTAGTATATTTCATGATTGGTTGAAGTGATTTCAGTCACTAATTCTGAACTTTGGTTAATTTGGCATATAATTGGTGGATATGGATGGTTGTTGCACTGGTGGTGGTTCTGTTTATTCTTCTCTTGGGATCATTTTACCATTTGAGGAGAAAAAAACTAAGAGGTAACAACATCTTATGGTTGAAAGATGCATTTTGGATCAATTTATTCATTCATGTGACAAGCAATTCTAACCTTGGAGCTTCTTATGCAACAGAGATACAGGAAAGGCACCAAGAGGAAATATTACATGAATTAACTGATTCAGAGAGATTTGATCCAAATGAGATTGGAGATGATGGGCAACATGAAGTGAAACTGTTCAGTTTTGCTTCGATTCTGGCTGCCACAAATAACTTTTCACCTGAGAATAAACTCGGACAGGGTGGTTTTGGTCCTGTTTATAAGGTAATAGGAATTCTAATAATGAAAAGAAACTGTAGTCGGATTTGAAGCATACTCATTAATCATTAATGCAGGGAATTTTGCCCGAGGGTCAAGTTGGTTAGTTTCTCTCCTCCTTGAGTTTGCGGGGGGCTGTTAGAATTTCCCATCTTTACCTTCACCTACTCCACTACACACTCCACTTCCCCTACCTCTACTCCACTACACACTCCACTTCACCTAACCCACTATCACCTCCACTACACCTACTACCACATTTTCTTCTATATATAGATTGTATAGGAATTGTAATTAATGCATCTTGTAATCTATCAATCAAGACATCAATCAATAATACATAATTTTTTACAGTTTTGCTTCGATTCTGGCTGCCACAAATAACTTTTCACCTGAGAATAAACCCGGACAGGGTGGTTTTGGTCCTGTTTATAAGGTAACAGGAATTCTAATAATGAAAAGAAACTGTAGTTGGATTTGAAGCATACTCATTAATCATTAATGCAGGGAATTTTGCCCGAGGTCAAGAAATAGCCGTGAAGAGACTTTTGAGGGGATCAGGGCAAGGATTGGTGGAATTCAAAAATGAGATTATACTAATTGCCAAACTCCAACACATGAATCTTGTTAGACTTTTGGGTTGCTGCATTCATAGAGATGAAAAGATGTTAATCTATGAATACATGCCTAACAAAAGCTTGGACTTCTTTCTATTTGGTTTGTGAAATTTCGCTTCATATTTTTGTTCCTCAGTGGTTGTCTCCAAATGTGTTTGGAAAAATTAATTATTGGGTGTACAAAATTTTGCAGATTCAACTCAGAAAGAGCTATTGGATTGGAAGTAGCGTTACGATATCATTGAGGGGATTGCACAAGGCCTTCTTTACTTGCACAAATATTCAAGACTAAGAATAATTTACAGAGACTTAAAAGCAAGTAATGTCTTACTAGACAATGACATGAACCCCAAAATTTCAGACTTTGGCATGGCTAGGATTTTTGGGCGAAATGAATCTGAAGCAAATACCAATCGGGTTGTTGGAACATAGTAAGTTTCATCACTTCATTATTTGTATGTGATGTCTATTTCCTTTTACTAAGTTATGATTGTCGTTGAATGCAGTGGTTACATGTCACCTGATTATGCCATGGAAAGTCTTTTCTCAGAGAAATCAGATGTTTACAGTTTTGGAGTCCTAATGTTGGAGATCGTGAGTGGACGAAAGAACAGTAGCTTTTATCATCATGATCGCCCTGTTAACCTAATCGGATATGTAAGCCCAAGCAACTAACTTACAAATTTTTCTCAGAAACATTGTGTTGGTAGTATTCTGAAAACATTGTCATGTTTTTGGGCTTGCGAGTTATGGAAAGAAGGTAATGGCTTGGAGCTGATGGACTCAACACTAGGCAATTCATGTTCCAGTTCTCAAGTATTGAGATGCATTCGAGTCGGTCTCTTGTGTGTTCAAGAGAATGCAGTGGATAGGCCTACAATGTCAGATGTTATTTCTATGCTCAGTAATGAAACTACGCTGCTTCCAACTCCAAATTTCACTGCATATGCTACTTGCAAAAGGCTTGTAGAGGCAGACATGGACAGAGGTGCATCAGAAAATCACTCTGCAACCGTGTCTGCTACAGAGATAGAAGCTCGGTAGAGATTGCAGATTTGACAAAAGACCTTAGAACAACCGTTTGGATCTCTTGAGTATTACATTGCTCTTAATTAAGCAATAGTGTTTTTTCTTGTTTCAGTTTAGAGATGAACTCCTATTGGCATAGCCTATGTAACACTGCATGGGAAATCTTGTCTCTATTAATTTTAATTACTATGTAGACCATTATTTCTTCATATTTTTTTTCAAATTCTCTCATTTTGGTTTTTATAGAGTTGAGATTAATAATGAAATCCTTGATTTACAAAAACAGAAAAGAGTTAGGGGGCCTATAAATTTAGAGGTTGTATGTTCAAGTTTCATGTGATCGGTATTGATAAAGTATTAATTCATGCGGTTCATAATGAGTGAAGACATTCATAATGGTTGTTAAAAGATTCTATCTAAAGCTAGGAAATCAACCCCTAACAATTAGGAGGGTGGGCTACATGGTGGAGAGCGATGCTAGAAGGGCAGGGAAAGTTGCAAAGAAAATTTGATAGATTTTAGGAGTGCCATTATGGTTTTGGAAACAATTATAAAAAATGTTAGAGATTCTAAAAATTTTATTAAAATTTCTATCAAATATCTCACATGGGTGTGGGACGGACCTACATAGTGTGGGTCCCATACCCATGTGAGACATTTGATAGAATTTTTGGAGTCTCTAATATTACTCAATAATTATTAAACTTGAAGGATAAGTGAGGACACGATATAAATATTCCTAATTTTGATGGGAAAGACACATGCAAAATCAGTTAGGAACTTACAATGCGCTTTACAACTTTACAGTGTACAATTTCTATACTTAAAGTTCTTGTAATAATTTAATCATTTTAAAATGCATTACAATAATTAGAATTTAATATTGAATTGTAAAAAATAAAAGTAATTTTTATTTATTAAATACATAATTACATTAGTTATGATTATGGTTATGTTATTAACTTATGGGTTTAATCTCGTAAAAATATAGTTACTATTTTCCTTTAATGATGCTACTTATTTAATTTTTCAATTTTAATCTTTTTGTTTTACTATGGGCTTAAAATTGAAAAATTAAGAAGAAGAAGAAAGAAGTAAGTAGCATCATTAAATGAAAATAGTAACTATATAGCATCATTAAATGGGTCATTGAAAAATTACTTCTTTCTTCTTCTTTAGCACATATGGGCTTAACATGGGTCATTGGGATAGGTCTATGGACCGAGCTTTGAAAAGATAATAAGACAGGCTCAAAGCCTGGTCCATGAGCCTATCCTTCGACCTAGGGTTCAACCCATATATTTTAGGGCAGGGTTATATTTGGGCCGGTCCACATATTTGGGCTGGGCTTTCGCTTTACAATGCGAGACCCGCCCAACTGACCCAAGCAAAAATCACTGCGAGTGCGAAGAATCTCTCTACTTTTGTTTGTTTGGCAGTCCCTTCCCTTTCTTCTTCATCGGAAATTTTTTAAAAAGCTCTAAACCTGTGCCAGTTTTTCGCACTTTCTCTCTCTAGAAATCGATACATACAATTGCTTATTGTGTATATATATCTTAGGGTTAGGGTTAGGGTTTTCCAACTGCTAAAGGGTTTTCTAACTGTACGATTGTGTAATCAACCGCACGATGTATGCTGATCGTGTGGAGGCCACATCCAGGAGGTCCATAAAGGAGCGTCTTTATGGTAACACCGGAGACGATTCTATTCGCCGGAGGCAATTTACCGGCAAGAGGTTCGATTTCTCTCGCTAGTTTCTCTCTTTAGCCTCCTTGATTTGTTGCTGTGACTGTTGTTGGCTTTGTATTTGTTCTCATTGTGCTGTGTATTGACAGTGTTGAGTTTGTGTGAACTTGATTCTAAATTTTCTGGTTTCAATTCTTCATTGGGCATAGGCTTTGGATTTAGTTCGTGTTTGATTCGAACTTAGTTTTTTTTTTTTTTTTGGTGAATGAAACTTTTGAGTTTTGTTTGAAAGAAACATTCTTTTTCGTTGTAGCCTAACGAGAAGAATGACTTCCGGGTCATGTTTTTGGAGGAGTGAACGTGAAAATCAAGCATTAGAGCATTCATGGGCACATAAGGTGCTTTGATCAGTTACATTACATGTGAGCTTTTTGTTGTAATGAATAAATCTTCAGAAAAATTAGCAAATTAGCTTTCATTGGATTCCATAATTTGCATTTTTAGGACTTGATTTAAGTAGTTTTGGTTGAAAGATGATTGCTTTGCTGATCGTTTTTGTTGTTCACGCATTTTGTTTTGTATTCTACTAAAAAATTGACAGTGGAATTATTATTTTTGAGTAAGTTGTGTAACTGGGTCACCTGCTTAGTGGGCTTGTGTGATACAGAGGTGGTCATATTTTCTTCTTCTGTCTTTCTCTCTTGTTTTGTTCTTATACATGCCCATACCATGCAAACACATGCTCACGTAAGCATCATAACTTAATTTTGGGTTCTTCCATGGTTCATCATATTGTTCTTCTATTCAACAGTTGTCATCATAATGGAAGAAGAATTACTTATATTGTATCAAACAATTTATGAAGAAGAAAATGTTAGAAAAGATTTTGAAGTAGGATTCTTTAGATTTGAAATTTGATACAAAGTAGATGTAGGATATTACTAGGAAACTTATTATAATTTTTCCTCCATATAGATTTGTGGTGGGAATGGTTTATGGAAGGCTTGGAGATTGGGATTTAAACTATTGCCAAATAGGTGGTTGGCATTGTGTATGGAGAAAGCAGATGCTTATTATAATTTTTCCTCCTTATAGATTTGTGGTGGGAAAGGTTTATGGAAGGCTTGGAGATTAGGATTTAAAACTATCGCCAAATAGGTGGTTGGCATTGTGTATGGAGAAGGGTTAGAATTGTCTTAGTTTGGAAGGTGATTAATTGCTTCAATTGTCTTAAATTCTTGACAACAACTAATCTTGGGTTTAATATTCTTTAATTGCATGCCAAAACCCAAAAGAGTAAGCATTATGAAATTAGAGTTTTGGAATTAAAAACCTAAAAATTAACATCCTGTCACACAGAATTTCAGCGAAGATAGTTATCAAAAAAAAAGAAAAAAAGAAAAAAAAGAAAAAAGGTAGACGAAGAATCTACCAAAATTTGTTAGAAGTCCCTCCTAATCCTAAGATTAGGTTGTATGACACATGGGACCATCGAATTTTCAAAACATGACTCAATTATTGAAACATTACATGAATATTTATGGGTTGCTATCATTTTTCTTTTTTAGGTCATTATAAAATAGAAGACTTAAAAAAACTTTAATAAGATCGTGCTAGGCCTACTATAGATCATCATATACATGAGGGCCTCAGAAAATAGTCAAGCTCAAAATATTTCCTTGTACCACTACTAGTACTAATATAGTAATATCTAGAAAATTTAAATTGCTATGATTCCCTTGACTTTAAAAAGTAACGAAAATACAAACAAAATTGTCCCAGCAGCATAGTAACTTCAAATTCACAATCTCAAACAAAATTTTAATCTAAGCTTTGATTAGACAGAGTCCCAAGTGTACTCCATCTGCACGTTATGATTTTATGCTTCTTAGTAACGAGTGTTTAGGTTTTATAATATCTCATTGTTGTTGATTAATTATGGATTTTTTTTTTTTTTTCTCAAGATTATGTTTAATATATGTATGTATTCATATATTCAATATGGTTTTATCATGTAACAAGGGGTTATTAGTTCAAATGTTAAAACTCAGCCCATCAACCTTGCGGTTGTAAGTTCAATCTAACCCTTTCAGACCCATCCAATGAGGACTAACTGAGTGTACTTTTTATGGTTTTGTAGGGTTTCAAGAGGGAGAAAAAAACTGAAATAATGATCAAGGATATCTTATAGATAAACCATTGGAGACCTGTGATATCTTTGTATATGTTAATTTTAAAGTGGCTCCAAAGCTACATTTTAATGATTTTCTTAATTCAAATAATTTTAATGAATTGCCCCAATAGCCATTCTGTGAAGATATAGTATCTCATATGTGCATGATACTATCATGCGTACTGTATTTTGTGCTGTTTGTATTAATCAAAAGTTTCTAAATTAATTTGAGACATGACTTTATGTTGGTTGAGTCAAAGGGTGTAAAATTTTTCCCGTTGGATATCTTTGTCTATTTAACTCTGATAAGTATCTTAGCTGTACTTCCTTCTTCTGCCAATTTAATTTCTTTAAGTAGTTTGTTAGGTGGAGCACTGTATACACTGAGGCTTTTACTTGTTTTTATTAGAACAAAACCTTTTATTTGATTCAACGTCATATGCTTTGCAGGCAGAGGCAAGATGATGACAAGTGGGAACATGATCTTTACAAGGATGATGAACCTCAAGTTTCAAGTACGGTTTCTTGTGACATGATTGAATTCAACTAGTGATTGCTGCTTAAGTTGCATGAAACATATTGAAATATGTATGTGTATATTGTATACAAATTGTTGCTTTTAGACATTGCTATTGTATCATTTTGATTGTAATTTGTGTGTTAATGGTGCTTGAAGATCGCATAATTGGTGGTAAAGATCTTCGTCTGAAGCTCCAGAAGAAGAGTGTCCAGCAAGAAAGTCTAAGTGGAAATGGATCTGTTTCAGGTGTAAGGGATCTCCGTGAAAAGCTCTCTGGCACGATGTACTCACAGCCGGTGAACACTGATCCCCCGAAGCCAAAGCGAAAGCCAGTACTTAAGGATAATAAATCTGTGAGGAATAATGTTATTGTTGAAGCCCCTGAACCAGAGACCAAAAAAGTTGCTAGCTCAGTCCGTAGGACAAAGACTCCGCAAAAGGCACGGACCTTCCCTGTTATTTTTATTTCTTCCCTTGCCTTTTACAACTGTTATGAAGTATAAAATTCAATATTTCTGAGATGTGTGGTTATGATAGATCCTGATCCAAACTGTTTTATGCACACTGACACAATTTATGTTGAAAAGTTTTTTTTGTTGTCGTCATGACTACTACTACTCATACAGACATGTCATATTATTGGCACCATCATGTATGTTTTTTCAGATTTTCTTGTGTTTGGGTGTTGAGTGTGACTTGGTTAACATCTTCTTTTAGAAATGTATACTTTTGTCTGAGTATGAATCGCAGTTTTGCAGTAAATAATAATTTCGTTAGTTCACTTTTGGTGCACTTGATTTTGAATTTGACTTGTAATCTGCTCATACTTTTCCAGAAGTATGGTCTTTATATGGTACGTGTGTATAATATGGAAATACACACACATCCACATCAAGGGCCAAAGAAGGCCAAACCCACGCATACACACAAATAGTTTCAGTTCTTGATGGGAATATATGTTGTCATGATACGTTGATCATGTATTTTGTGGTCAGTTCATTTCTTTCCATTGAAACTTATGTCATGCTTGATTTAGCTGATTCATTAACAATTTTCACACCAATGCTGTACGCTTATTTTCATTGTTCAGCTTGAAAAGTTTGATCCATCTTTGGCATGAAATTGGGTAATGTTGCCATTGAGGGACATTTTTTTTTTTTAATCTTTTGGTTTTTTAGAAAGATAGGGGTTGAGGTTGGGGCATAATCTTAATGCCAGTGGATCAGTTTTAGACTTAATAATTTGAACTCAATTACGGGGAGTTGTTCATAATGTGTGGTAGTTGTTCATCCTTCTAAGTGATACATGTCTGGTGCAGGCTGAATCTGTTGATAGTTTCCTGCAATCCCTCGGTCTGGAAAAATACTCAATTACATTCCAAGTGGAGGAAGTATGCATTCATCACAACATTTCTGTGTTATTGCAATTTTATGTACTAGCTCCGGTTTCAACCAGTGCCGTAATAAGTTCCTTTTACTATTTTGGCACTTCATGCTGTTTGTGCAGGTTGATATGACAGCACTCGTGCACATGACTGGTGAGGATCTGAAGGCTTTAGGAATACCAATGGTAAACTTGACTAAACTCACCCTAGTGTACAGAGAGATCCTGCCTTGCTATGATATCTGTGGTCATTTTTATTGCTTTTGCTGATCAATGATGGTGGAACTTCCCTTCTTGATATAGAATTTACTGTTTTGATGAATTGATAGAATTTACTATTTTGATACACGTGTCAGACACTTCTTATGGTTTTTATTTGTCTATTCATATAGAAATAATTTGTTTAATGAAGTAACAAGATTTTAATTAAACCTCTCCTCACTTTAGTTCCCACCCAAAAGCAAGCCGCTTACCATGGCAAGAAGCTAGCCTGCCTTGGGAGCGAAGCGAAAAACTTGATAAGACCAAACTAATTCATGAACGATTCCTAATAACCCTTGGTTTATCCAAAGAAGAGCAATTTTCATTGGGCTCAAAAGAATGAGGAAGCAGATTACTGAATTTCTGATCTTGCTTGATCTAATTGAGAGATGCCCTAGAGAACTGGAAGCAAAATGAAGACTAATAATAAAAAATAAAACAAAACAACTGTGGACTTTGTGAAGGGGATTCTACATATTTAAGAAGTTCCTCACTGCCTCAACACATCTTTTGGTATGTGGAAATAGAAGCTCTCAACAACCATCCCCTAAGGGAAATATAGCTACACTAATATCTTGCACCATGTGATTGGAGACTGATTAGAAGAAGATTTGCTAGTGGGTTGTTTTTGTTGAACCCATGTAACTCTTCTTTATTTATTTATGTTTTTGTTTTTGTGGGTCTTTGGGAATCATTTAGGATGCAAACAACCATCTTTTTATTTATTTTTATTTAATGTCAAAATGAGCACCGCTTTTTCTTGTGTCTCTTACTAGTTCTACTCTGCCTTCCCTAATTTGATTTTAAGCTTTTTTGGTTCATTGTGGTTCTTTCAGGGTCCAAGAAAGAAGATACTTTTGGCATTGGAATCCAATGTCTGACATTTGGAGTGGACCAGGTTCTTTTGCATGTTTTCTTGGATCCTAATGTTATGGTCCGATAACGTTCTCGCAAGTCCCCGGCCTTGTTTTAACTGGTACAACTCTGCATGTAACTTTCTGGGATTAATTCTTCAGTTGTATTGGTGAAAATGGCTTCAGTGAGCTTATTGTTGGTATCAAATGAATATGGAAGATTCGTAGCTTGGGAAAGATTTAAAAACTTGAATTTGTTGAATTATGTTGATGCTTTATTATACCAGGATTTTCTCTTCCATAGGTGGGAGAGTGAGGGAGAGAGAATGTACAAGCAAAACTGTTATGAATGTACGTCACATTCTTAGGTATTGATTTAGATATCTATTTTTTTTCTCCCTTAAAAACTAACAATTTCTCAGATGAAATACCTTTCTCAACTCAGCTTGTACTATTTGAAATGTATTGACCCGACCATGGAAGCCATCCATGTATTTCAGAGTTTTTAAAAATAATTGCAAAATGTGGGAATGAAAAATTAATATACATGGAAATTAAGAAACATGATGTCAATTATTGTGTTGCCCTCAACCCCTCTCCCTCTTCCTTTCCTCTTCCCTTCCCTCCTTTTCTCAACCTCTGCAAAGCCCAACCCAGTGTGATCTACCCCTTCAAGGCCAGCAACCCATCCCCATACTTCTCCACCATTGTCTCCCCCTCCCTTCTCTTTTGCCATCACCATCCGTGGCTACTGCCATCGCTGCTCACCTTCTCTGCTTCCATTGCTGGATCTGGTTTAGATCTAGTTTGATGCTGTGTACCACCAGCTCCTCTTTCGGCCACCACCATAACTAAAGTGAAAAAAAAAAACAAATTGAAATGAACAGAGAAGAGGACGATGAAAACCAAACTGAATAAACAGAGTTGGAAAGGGTGGATGTTTTGAGTGTGGATTGTCATAATGTTTTTGTAATTATGTTTTTAAATTTCCATGTACATTGCAATAATTTTTTATTCCTTTACTGCAATTGTTATACATTCCTTCCATTTTTCTGCAATTTTCCCATTAATTAACATGGTAAGCAATTATTGATATATCACTCCATTACTAACTCATATTTTGGAGTTAAAAGTTTAATCAATTAAAGAGTTAAAAAACCAACGTTTCATTCATTTCTAACTCATTTCAGATTTTTATTTGTGAAAACCAACATTTAACTTCATTTATAGTTCGCAAACTGCCATACATTAAAAAAACTGATCAGAAACACAACCCTACACACACACACACATATATTGCCATCAATCCGTGTAGAGAGCTCCAAGAAATTAGAGTTACCACTTTTTCATCATCAAGTTCCTGAATTGAACAAACATTGTAACCAAACACAATGGAGAATCTGAAGATAGTCGAGAAAATTGTCATATTCCCGGGGAAGCCCACAGAACGCAGACGCATCTTCTTGTCAAACATAGACCTCAGCCTCATCGGCTACCAAGAATCAGTTTCTTTCTTTGACCCTCCAAAAATCAGTTTTGCCGAAGCCTGTGAAAAGTTGTACAGAGCACTCGAGCGGTTGTTTGTGCACTATGATTTCTTTGCTGGACGCCTAGTGCCTTCATTGGAAGACAGTCAGAGGTTAGAGATCAACTGCAATGGTGCAGGTGTTGTGGTTGTTGCAGCAGCAACAGAGACGAAGTTGAGCCAGCTTGGAGAGCTTATGGCACCGAAGCCAGAGTTTAGGCAATTTGTGGAGTTCTTGCGTAAAGAGAATGAAGAGGAAATAGAGATACAGGACATGCCTCTTTTGTTCATCCAGGTATTTTCAGAGTGTTCCCTTTACACATTCCAAGTGTTGGCATCAAAAACTCTTTGACAAACACAGAAACTGATGAATTAGAGGCTTTGTTTTTGAAAAATTATTCACAAATTGTGGTCTGTGTTTGAAATTACAGTTGACCCAGTTGGGCTGTGGAGGCTTGGCATTCGCTTCACGGTACAACCACTGTGTCCTCGACGGAGTGGCAGTACGTGAGTTCCTAGCAAACATGGCTGCTCTAACACGGTCCGAACAAATGGTGATCATCCCAAACCCAGATCGAACGCTCTTCAAAGCACGAAACCCCCCTATAATCATTCATCCTCACTATGAGTACTCGAAACCAATCATCGACACACACAGCTTCAATTTCAACCCCACACTCCACCAATCTTCACTCCCCAACCAAACCCACCTCATCTACTTATCCCCTTCCCGCATCGCCACCATAAAAAAGGCCTCCCTGAGAAATTGCACCACCTTCCAGGCCGTGGCAGCAAAGATATGGAAGGCAAGGACCCTGGCGGTGGAGACAAAAGACATCGATAAAATTTCGACAATGTTGTTTCCGGTGGATGCTAGGAAAAAGATTGTGCCACACGTACCCATTGGGTTTGCCGGGAATGCTCTGATTCCTGGGTTCGCACGAGCGAGCGTGAGGGAGATGAGGGAGGAAGAGGACCATGTTTTTGTGAAGAAGGTGCAGGAAGGGTTGGAGAGGTTGGATGATGAATATGTGAGGTCTAGTGTAGATTGGTTAGAGGTGAATAAGGGTGTGCCTTGTAGGGAAGATAGCTTTTCATTGGTGGCTTGGTGGAGATTAGGGTTAGAGGAAGATGAGTTTGTTTGGGGCAAGATCAAGTGTACTACTCCAGTGTTGGTTAAACCTGGTTTGGTGTATCTATTACCAGGGACAAGAGATGAGGGAGGGCTTAGCATTTGCCTGGAACTTCCTAATGATCAGATTAAGGAGTTTCACAGGTTAATGATGGAGGATTAATGAAGTCTCAAACAGGATTTAGTTATCCTCATGTGGAATCAACTAACCTTTGCCTTCCACAATTTTCATATTTGTTATTTATGAATTGGATGATTTATCTCCATTAATTGCCATTGTATTAATTTCTTAACATTTTATTTATAAGGAAAACCAGCCAATATAATTCAGTTCTAAAGTTCTCTCGAACTAAATTTTTCTAAAATTTTGACTTTCCACTACTAGCACGGAATCTTCTATCTTCCAAAATCTTTTTTTCTCCCTGTCTCTATGAACTTTCACGAGCATGATCATGTCTCGAAATTTCTATGATATGTGTGTTCAGAGTACATTGAGGACAGAAGACCCAAATTTTGATTACAAAAGATCTGTGACCAACAAAAACCTAATTCCATAAAATTACCTCTCAATCAGTAGCTTTTCTTGTATTGTTGATCCTAAAAATACCTCACTTTCTGAAACTAATTCTCTAAAATAAAAAAAAAAACACCCAATTAATACACATTAATGCGTGATTGGGGGGAAAAAGATTGAGTGGTGTTGGACATGTCTTGGGTTTGAAGTGCCACATACAAAATTTTACATGACATTCTCATGTAGATCAACAAAAATGAAACCGTTTAGAAAATAAATATATATGAAAATTTCACCATATTTTTAGCTTTCCTCAATTAACAAAATTCAATATTTTAACAATCATTTTTTCCCATGTCTTTTCAAGACTGTTTACTTCTGTACACAAGAAATAAAGTGACAATTGAAATCAAGGACTAATTCCAACCTCAGCCCTTGAGACACATTTTCATTGTCAGAAATTTGGACAATTGGCATAATATTATTGCATACATACAAAACAGGAAGAAAATAAAGTCAGCTTTGGTAAAACAACTCTTTTGCTCAAATGATATTGCAGCATAACTAGTTCTTGTATGAGAAACTCAGCAATGTCAATGTGGGTAATCAATCAGTAATTCAGAAATTATACAAAAAATGGGATACAAGCCAGTGAAAGAGTCTACAAAAAGAAAATCTTCTATCCCTAAGTTCCGTTTGTTTAGCACAGATTGTACAAGAAATGCTTCCTTCCTGACTTGCTCTGAGGTTATCCAAAATAATACTGCCAACCAGCAGCTACACCAGCCACTAAAACAACTTTAATTAATAGCTTGGAACTTACTAAGGATGACAAAGACGACGACGACGATGATTGTGATGATGATTGTGGTTGTTCCCACTGTCTTCCTCTCAATTTGGCACACAACTTGGATAGTAGCAAGGGAAACCGGCCATTCTTCTTGGCAGCTGCAAGCAGAACAATAAGAGCAAACATTAACGGTGGGATAAAGATGGGTTTGATAAATTACAGAGATCAAAACAGTGTAGTGTGCTTTCTGTTTCGCATGCATGTAACTAAAGTAAGCCATCAATAAGTCATCAAGGGTGCCCTTAACTTTAAAAAAAGAAAAGAAAAAAGACATGGACAATAGTAACCTTGCCACAGTGCAGTAGGTTAGCCATCTATATGAGTGGTGATTCCGTGTATCATGTCTAGTAAGAGACTAAAAGAAGCTTGATCATAAACATGTTTCACAATATTACGTGGTTGGCTAGTAGCAAAGGTGTAACTCTAAAGTGAACATGTCTGGAAAAGTCGGACTAATAACAAAAACACTACAATTATGGTGCAACAAACTTATTGCAAGGATCCAAAAGTATACTAGAAAGAGTAAATTTCAGGCAAGTTTCAAGTATTTTCCAATTGTGCCATAGAGAAATAATTAAATAAATAGCACCACCAAGGGTAGAAACAATAAAGATAAAATTCTAGTATGCATGTTTTTCTCAAGTATTCAAAAGATGACAGTGAGGGTGTTAATAATTAAATATTAGCAAATCAATGGTATAGGTGTTAATTCACAAAACTATCAGAATCATATTGCAACTGAGAATTCTACCATTACTCTTTAATTAAGTAGAGAATTTTACCATTTGTCAAAAGCATGTTAACACATTTTAACAAATTTGAGAATTTTCAATGACCCAATCCAAATAATACTTAAATTACCTTTTCTTTTTAACAATCTTTCTTCCTCGGCAGCACGCCTCCGTAGTATATTGAGCATTGACCCGAAATATAAAGCAAATACTGTGCATGTAATTGTGATGACATTGTAAGGCATGCTAAAATCAGGAGTCGTTAAAGGGACAAGCAATACTTCTGTGTAAGACAAAACAGGACTTTTCTCCTGCATACAAATTCAGGCACCAATTTAAACAGAGAAACAGAACGCAAGGTACCCTTAAAACCAACATATCACAGCAATTAATACCTGCAATTTACATAATAGGGGTGACTTGTTTGAAGAGGCATCTTCAAGAAAATTCGCACTTGCTTGGAATTCAGGAAAGCTTACAACAGCTGATGGGATGTCAAATCCCTGGTTAGCATCTGGAGGATATTCATCGATGTGCAAAAAACCCTGTGGAGATATATGAAGTGGCAAATAAGGACACGAGCTAAATATAATGGACAGACAGCATTTTTAGACTACCACAGAATCTGCGAGCATTCATGGTTCTGGCAGTTTATTCAACTAATAACTGAGAATATAGAATAAAGCAAATCAATTTCACAAGCTAAATTGTACACAAGCTATGAAGCACGGACACCCCTCCGAGGGCTCCGTACCAGTGTCAGACACGTGTCGGACACGGACACGCGTCGGACACACAGTGGACACGTGTCTGACACGCATGGCAGAGTGTCCCATTTTTTTTAAAATTTTTTTACATCCGGACACGTTTTGGACATGTTTGGACATGCGCGGGGGCAATTTCACAATTTACTAAATTTTTTTGGGGTCGATTTGAAAATAAGCAAAAACAGATCAAATTTGCCCTAATCTACCATTCGCCCTAATCTCTTCGAATCGACTTTCGAATAGAAGATAAGCAGCAGAGAAAGGGTGAGAAAGAGAGAAAGAGAGAGGACCTGACTTCGTCGATCGTTGCTCCTCGTCGGTCGTCTGTCGTCGGTCTGCGATCTGGGATCTGCAGTCGATTTTCTGCTTCGTTAAGGTACGACTCTACTTCGATCTTCTTCGATCGCTCTCTCTCTCTCTCTTCGATAGCTCTCTCTCTCTCTCTCTGTCTTAGCCTCTTCTTTCCTCACAATTTCTCGCCGTTATTTCATTTTTTTCCTTTATTTCATTTTTTTGTTTTATTTTGATTTTGATTTTGATTTTCTTTTTTTGTTTTATTTTTTTTGTTTTATTAATTTAATTTTTTCTTTTCTTTTTCTTTAATTCTGATTTTGTTTTATTTTATTTTTTCTTTTCTTTTATTTTTTTTATATTCTGATTTTATTTTTTCTTTTCTATTATTTGAGGATATAATTTTAATAATGTATGTTTATTAATTTTATTATAGGAACCAATTATTAATTCTGAAACAATGGCTACGGGTGGTAGTTCTAATGATATACCTGATGATGATTTTGATGAGAACAAACCATTGTGGAAGTATGTAACTAAATTAGCAAAACCTGGGGAAGGTGGAGGAAATTGCCAATTACAATGTAAATTTTGTAATAATACTTTCAAAGGTTCATATACAAGAGTAAGGGCACACTTGTTAAAACTCCTAGGAAAGGGAATTGGTGCTTGTAAGAAAGTGACAAGTCCAAAACTTTCACAACTGCAAAATGAGAATGATGCTGCTGAGCTGAGAATTAAAAATGCTCTTCCCAAAAATGTACCATTGCCTCCTTCCATTGTATCAGTGGGTAGTAGTTATGCTTGTGAATCAAAGAAGAGGAGAACATGTGAGAGTGGGAGTGGGAGTGGGAGTGGGAGTGGGAGTGGGCCTGGGAGTGGGAGTGCTATTAAGAAAGCATTCAACTTGAAGGATAGAGAGCAATTGCATTTTGAAATTGCTAGGATGTTCTACTCGGGGGGGGGGGGGGGAATCTTGCAAGAAATCCTTACTATGTTAGCTCTTACACATTTGCTGCAAATCATAATATTCCTGGATATTTGCCTCCCGGTTATAATTTGTTACGAACCACATTACTTCAAAAAGAGAGGGCAAATATTGATAAATTGTTGCAACCAATTAGGGACACATGGAAGGAAAAAGGGGTGAGCATTGTTAGTGATGGTTGGAGTGATTCTCAAAGGAGGCCTTTGATTAATTTTATGGCAGTGAGTGAAAGTGGGCCTATGTTCATTAAAGCAGTTGATTGTTCTGGAGAAACTAAAGACAAATATTTCATTGCAAATTTGATGAAAGAAGTGATTAATGAGGTTGGGCCAAGTAATGTGGTTCAAGTCATCATGGATAATGCTCCTAATTGTAAGGCAGCCGGACAACTTATTGAAGCTCAATTCCCTTATATTCTATGGACTCCTTGTGTGGTGCACACATTAAATCTAGCTTTGAAAAATATTTGTGCCGCAAAGAATATTGAGAGGAATGAAGTCACATATGAAGAATGTAGTTGGATTAGTGATATTGCCGGAGATGGTTTGATGATTAAGAATTTTATCTCTAATCACTCAATGCGATTGGCTATGCACAATGAATTTGTGTCATTGAAGTTGCTTTCGGTTGCCGAAACACGATTTGCCTCCACAATTGTTATGCTCAAGAGGTTAAAGCTTATAAAACGTGGTCTTCAAGCAATGGTAATTAGTGACAAGTGGAATTGCTATAGAGATGATGATGTTGGGAATGCAAAATTTGTGAAAGAAAAGATTTTGGATGATGTGTGGTGGGATTACATTGATTATATTCTTTCCTTCACGGGTCCTATATATGACATGCTTAGGGCTTGTGATACAGACAAACCTTGCTTTCACTTAGTATGTGATATGTGGGACTCAATGATAGAGAAAGTGAAGATGTCAATTTATAGGCATGAAGGGAAAAGAATAGATGAGGAATCTACATTGTACAATGTGGTGCATCAAATTCTCGTGGATCGTTGGAATAAAAAACATACTCCTCTCCATTGTATGGCACATTCATTGAATCCAAAGTAAGTACCACATTTAAATTTGTTTTAGATATTTCATTTTGATGGACTTATCTAGTCTTTCTTGAAATAATTATTTTTCCTATTTTGGATTGTAGGTATTATAGTGATGAGTGGCTCCACGAGGATCAAAATAGAGTTCCTCCACATAGGGATGAAGAGGTGACACGTGAGAGGAACAAGTGTTTTAAGAGGTATTTTGAAGATATCACGGAGCGAACCAAGGTGATAACTGAGTTTGGAAAATTTTCGGGTTATGTTGAAGCATTCTCAGAGTATGATTCCATTCATAATAGATGGCACATGGATCCTTATACTTGGTGGTGTGCATATGATGCATATGCACCATCTCTTCAAAAACTAGCTTTGAGATTGCTTGTGCAACCTGCCTCTTCATCTTGTTGTGAGAGAAATTGGAGTACTTACTCCTTTATTCACTCAGTGAGAAGGAACAAGATGGTCCCTCAACGCGCGGAGGATTTGGTGTTCATTCATAGCAATCTTCGTCTTTTATCAAGGAGGAGCTCCCAATACTTGCAAGGAGAGACAAAAATGTGGGACATTGCCGGAGATAACTTTGACTCACTTGATGATATTGGAATGCTTGGGATGGCTAACCTCTCACTTGATGAACCGGCTATGGAGGCGGTCCTATTTACAGATGAAGGAGAAGATGGAGGCGGTGGTGAAGATGTTGTAATAGTTTCCTCTACTTAGGTTGATGGATTTTGTAATAGTTGTTGGTACATTGGATAATTTTATATTTTGTGGTTTGATTTTCATGCATTTTGTAACAAATGATGGTTGGTAACTTCGAATGACATGTTATGTATTGATGGAATGCTATTTTATGTTAATTGGGAACGATATATATGATGTTAAATCAATTAAATGTTTATTTTTTTATAATTTTAATAGTGTTATTTTGTATATTTTATTACCTTTATTTGATTTTTTTTAATAATTTTATGACATATAATAAATAAAATTAATTATATATATTGAACGTGTGCCCGACGTGTCGTGTCCCCTATTTTTTGAAAATTTGCGTTTTTGCGTGTCCGTGTCGTGTCGCGTGTCCGTGTCTGTCTCCGTGCTTCATATGTATAGCCAGAATATATAAGAGATTGAGGTCAACGATAGCAGTCCAGTAGAATGCATAATGCTTGACATTTTGTCAATCTACAATGTTATTGCACAAAAGTTGTCTGCCCATATAGAGTGGTACTGCTATTGTTTGCTTATAACGTATCCATCCAGTGCACAGGAATACCCAATAATTTTAGAAGCGATTAAACTACAACTAATTTTTGCACGACTATTTCTGCATAGTTAACAATATTACAATGTATTAATTTACAGAATATACATTCTTATACATTAAAAAGCACAAATTTTTGTTAATAGTAGAGAAAAGTTACTCGAGACTACAAAATTAAGTGGCAGTTTGAAAGAGCATATTAGAGCTATAAGTTGCCAAACTATTAATGACAAACCAAGAGTACTTCAATGAATATCACTTTCTCAAACCATCAACTATTAGTTATTACTGGAGCTTAGCTCAGATGGCCAAGAGTGATAGTAGTATAGTACCAGTACAACTTCAGAAACATCTATCTTTCATTTTTCATTCATTCCTAACATTTAGATATAACTACATAGCTTGCATGCACATAACTAAGAACTGAAAACCAAGATATGCTCCATCATTACCACTTTTTCATGCAAGAATCAGCATAATGGGATATTGAAATTACTTGATTGCCACTTTTGCATATGATATTCATATCTATCCAATTAGGAAGACTGGCATGATTGATTTACCATTTTCACAATGACATTATCATAACAGACCTACTAGACGTTAAATGTAAACATTAGAACATACCTTGTCAAATTCCAGGGTTAATGCAGCTGACTTCACACCACAAGGTAATTTGAGGACCATTTCCATTACTCCAGGTGACACCTTGTCTTCAGAAGGTGAAACACGCATCTTCTTTATCACATCTGCTACAGATTGAGCTTGTCCATCAACAAATACTTGTAGTGTATGATAATATACTTTCACATACCAAGGCACAACTTGGAAAACATCAACCTGTAAGCTACACATGTCTTCATTAACATCAGCAGTCTGGAAACCCCCATTCTGTTTGGTAGGTTTTAAAGAGATAGCAATAGCACCCCTCTCATTCCCACTTCCCATTAAGAACCTACTAGCATGTAATGGCGCCTGAGGACATGACCAAACTACTGGTAACTTCCATGTTAAACCGAAATCAAATGGTTTAGAATCAGTGTAATTCTCCATTAAAAACTCGTACAGAATAGATGGGTGCTCTTTACCCAAGCTATTCAATTCTTTAATCACCCTGTCTGGGGAAACAGATAATTCAAAACCACGGACACTTGAGGAACCTTCGAAGGCAAGATTATCAGTATCATATCTCTCATTTTCCTTCTGTAGATTATTCAGTTCAGTGATTAAGGATCCTTCAAGTTGAAGGTACACATTACTAGACTTAGCAAGAACACATTTTCCACCAACTTTCCTTCCAAAAAGTGAGCTGAGAGACCAACTTGGTTGTAATATTGAGCCACTGGAATATGCCATGCTATTTCCTGGAGTACTAGGTTGAAGAACAATAGTAAGGGTTTGTTCAAGCTCTATCCCCTTGTTCAACCCTGCTGAAATGAATTCGGTAGAGGTCAAACGCAGACGCTGAGAATGATAAAATCCTCTATATATTGATGGCCTGTCCATCAACATTGACAGCCCAGCTTTGTCTCGACAAGGGAGCAACTTCAACCAGGGAGTCAGGTTTTCAGTGCAAACAGCCTCCCGGGGTAAGGTACCATACCTCATGTTGCTTGAAAATGGTCGAAAGCCCCAATCAGGAGCAGAATAAGCAGTAGAAGACTCTAGGAAGTTGATTGAAGCACAAAACATGCCTGAGAGGGTGTGGGAAAGATTTTTCCATGAAGCATCAACTTGATCTTGGGGGACATCAAAGACAGCCCACAATTCAACTCCAGGAGGCTTAGCATTGTTGCTTGATATGGGGTTGTAGCCACCCCAGCGTTCGTAATTCCAGCAGCCTTGGGTGAAAGACAACTCCATTTCCCGAATTTGAAATTTTTGTACCTATATAAGCAGTGCTAGACCAAACTAGTTATACAATGGAATTCTGGTGATTTAAAAATGTAAAACAAACATGAAGTTCTAGTTATTTTCGTCCTAACAAATTCATGGCAAGTAAAACAGAAACAAAGAGAAAAAAGGAAAAATATTAAAAGCATAGCATTTACATAAAGATATCTAAACATATTAGCATGCTTCAACTATCGAAAAATTCACATCACCAAAGAAAATTCCTACCATAAATCCAGCTTAACTCCAAAACTAACATGAATTCTGTTTGGATTCCGAAGTCATAAAAAAGAATAAAACCTGAGGGGAAAAAATAAACGCAATATGAAAGGCAATATTAATTGAGTAATTTAGCTTCAGGATTGTGCATTGGTAAAAAAGTAATGTCTATTGAAAGAAGGGTCGAAGTTCATAGAGATGGAGTCAAGAGACTGGTTTCCTATCACATATAAAGGAGGGGAATTCAAGGGAAGCACCCAGAAAGTAACTAATACCAAAACTTTGAAGCTATGGATCCTGAAGATAATAAGAAGTCTAAAATGAGAGAATCCAAAGCGGCCAACAATGAAGATGCCAATAAGGCACATGGAGTTATGCTCACTCCCTTCAACATCGCCGTAATCCAGAGAAGCTGATAATCACCATACCATTGACAATGGCACCTAGATCAGAAAAGTGGATAATTCAAGAAATAGAAGTTCATTGATTTGTCCATTTTCCTTTCTACCTTTTTCCTTCTACAAGTTTTCATAGTTACAAGTTGATTTTTCCTAAAATTACCCACATCTATTTGGGGCTACTATATTCCAATTAATAGCTCTACTGGTCCAGTACTCCTAACTCAGAACGAAATGCTATAACACTCTCAGTTTGGTGCTCAAAAATTAACTCCACCCAGTTAAAAACCGCCCAAATCAAGGGCACCCAAAACATTTAAACCCTAAACCCAAGTCAAAAACAACTTTTACCATAACAAGAACAATCCTTTGATACTCAATTCTTCAAAACAAACACTAAATCTAATAGAAAAATGTTGAAATTACCAGCTGATAGATGGCCTTGGGGAAGAGACGGTGGTGTGGGCCATAGGTTTCAGTAGGAGGAACTCTGCTTTGGAAGTGAAAATGGGCTAGAACCTTGCGATCTGGCAATGGCTTCAACAGCAATTCCTCTGAGAACTCTTCTCCTTCTTCTTCTTGTGGTTCGTACCCTATCGATTCGGACGCAAAGCAGGGTATGAATAACAACAACAACAGAAAGATCATCGACCGTGGAAGAGCCATTTCGCTACAAACCCTCCTCCGCCATGGAAGCGTCTGAAAAACTCATTAGTGTGTAATTGGTTAGAAGAAGAGAGTCGTCAGTACAGACCAGTGACCGCCCGCCCTGGTTTAAGATCTGGCCAGTTATTCGGATCCTGGCCGCCGTCAGTTTTGGTAATTTTCGACCCGTTTATCCATTAGGGACTGCCTTCTCTAATTGCACTTAGAGCATCTCCAATGCACTAGGCATATAATACTTGTTAGTTAAAATGCCTAGTGTGATTCACTTTTTTCAATTCCAACGTACTAAGCATATGATTAGGCATTTTGGCTCAACTCATATTGACTAGTTACATGTAGCTAGCCTTCAACGCTAGGCAAAATGTATTCAATCAATAGGATCATTTCCCTCCATCTTTATTGTTGACGTGGCATTCTATAAAATTAATAGTATTTGGATTAATAGCTAAAATAAAGAGCATGGTTGGAGTAAAAACATAAAACCGTTGATAGGCAAAATAAAATATATACTTTATAGTAATATTTAGATAGGTAAAATGCCTACTACCATTGGAGATGCTCTAAAGGAAGGCTAGGGAAACTTCGCACGGTTAAGGAAAATTACTATTAGATACTCTCGGAGAGTATTATATTGTATTATTTATGTGATATTTTTAGTTAATAATTTCTATAGATATGGTAAATCCTAGGAAAATTACAAATAAAAAAAAATAAAATCAAATTTTGATTTTTATAATAAAATAAACAATGCATTTTTAATTTTGTCAGTTTAAATCCTAATATTTTCGTTTGTTTTCAATATAAATTATCAGCCTATTTTTGTTAAGTAAACTAAAAAAATAATATTTTAGTCATTATACTCAATTTAAGTGTACACAAACTGTCTAAAATATCTTTTTTTATTGAGTTTAAGGACTAAAATATCATCTTTTGATTGGGTTCGCTATGATACATTTTGCACTCCTCCTCCTTTCCTTTTTTGATGTAATAGTTTTTCTGTTTCATCAATAAAGTTCATTTTCTTTGCTGTTCAAAAAAAAAAAAAAAAAATATCATCTTTCATCAGTTTTATTTAATGAGAATAGGCAGATGGTTTAGATTGAAAACAAAATTTAAAACTTAAAATATCTTTTTTTCATTGAGTTTAATGACTAAAATATTATATTTACATCAGTTTTACTTAATGAGAATAGGTAGATAGTTTAGATTGAAAACAAAATTTTAAAATTTAAGGTTTATTACATTACCGTAGTTAAACTCTAGAGTTTTTTTTTTTATTTATTTTATTGTTTTTTGGTAATTTCTCCTAAATCTCTTATATATCTATATCTATATCTATATCTATCTCACGTCATGTCACGTGACAGTTTTATCTAGCCTAAAATAAAAAATATATATATTATTCAAAGGTGTGAGTAAGGTTTGAATCCCCAAAACCTTACATTTCATTAAGAATACTCTTACCACTTAGATAACATACATATTATCACCAATCTTGGGTTAGTGCTTGCATTTGATTGTGCTTCCTTTGCGGTGTCAACCTAGTTGGGATCGTTTAGGTTAGCTATGATGCTTGGTGCACTCTCCCGCTTTGTTGATGTAATTTATGCATGTTTTGCTTTTTACATTAATAAAGTTTTTTTTGTTGTTCAAAAAAAATACATACATATTATCATATTAATTTCTTTATTATTTATTTTTATTATTACTTATCTAAATTGTATGCATATTGCATATGCCACTCACTAGTTATTATTATTATTAAAAGTAAAAAACTCACCAGTTACCATGAACCTTCCTTTAAAACATTATTAATTTGACCAATATGATAATTGATATTTTATCTTAACTCTTTTAAAACATTCTATATATATATATATATATATATAGCAGTTATAATAAGGGAGAGATTTAAACTTATGATCATTGATTAATCAATACAATGAAGAATACTTTCACTATTTAAACAACATAGAAGATATTTTATCAATTCAAAATTAAAATTTATATTTTAAGAATACCTATCGAGTGGATTCACACTCCTAGTATATATATACATATGTTGTTGTGTGAATCCACATATAATGCGCAAAAAATAAAGAAATGCTTAGAGTGAAATTACTTCTTTCATATTAAGAATCTTAATTGAACCATGCTATTTGGACCAGTGAGGGGCCACGGGTCTTGTTCTAGAAATTTTAGAATAGCTCGAGCTCCATTTATTTGGCTAGTTTGCTAAATAAATTGGCTCGATTCAATTTTTAAGGCTTGTTTAGAAACCAAATAACAACACTCAATGAAAACCAAGCTTGGCTTGAATATGCCCGTGAAGACAAAATTATATAAAGTCATTTTTATTTTAGTAATATATTTATAATATATTCGTTATTTTATTTTTTATTTTTTTTACGCTTGGTGTGTGTGCAAAAAAGTATATATATTGATTAATAAAAGTATTTTATATTTTGTTGATAATTTCTTTTTTGTCCTCTTAATGTGCATGTGCTCATTTATCTAATCGAGTTGACTTTAACCAAACTCAAGTTTCTCAAATAGTAAATGGGTTAAACTTGAGCTTGAACTTTACTAATTTTCAAAGAACCAAACTCAACACTCTAAAATTTGACTCAACTTAACTCATTTATAATGCGGTATGAGTATTTACCCAAATTTCAATCCTCATAATCCTCTTCAAACGCATACAATACAACTATACAAGGATAAAGGGTTGTTTTTCTTCTTTGAAGTTAAAACGCGTGTTATATTGGTTATTTTATTGTTCCCTGAATTACTTTCAAAACACTCTTTTTTGCTCAGATTTACTCAAAATAAAGAAAAATAAACAAAAAAGCAGAGGGACCAAACCTAACTTATGCTAACAAAGCATAAAATAATAAACTTTGGAAAAGGACCAAGGGGGACAAGTTCAAATAAAACTTCCTTGTTGATTACACTGACTCTTTTCTAATTTCTTTTTTTAAGTCATATCTTTGTTTGATCAAACTAGCTAGCATACAACAATGGGCTGCCTTTCACTCTTTCAATTTTTGTATGTTTCTTTTTCTAAGTAATCACTTTGTGAAACCATCACTTCAACCTCTCTCTGCAATCCACTAACCTCTCTAGTTGTTTTCCTCTTGAGCTTCCAAGCACCCCTTGATTTTCTCTTACAATAATTTACCCCTTCTTTTCTTTTTGTCAATTTTTTTTTTTTTTAGTTCTAATAATTGGGTCAATCTTACCCTTGATTTTTTCACACTATGACAATTTAATCTAATTGATAACATCATTTTAAAATTTAGACTGAAATCAAAGAGTAAAATAATTTATTCATTAAAGTAGTGTTTGATTCATTGAAATTAAATGATTATTCTACCAAAATATTCATTTTCGCATTTGAAAAAAATGTTGTGAATGAAATCATCTTTCACCATTATATAGGAATGATGCCTATAGAATGATCATTATATTTCATTTCATCTCATTCCAATAAACCATACAAAGCAGTGAACCAAATAGAGCTTAAATGATTGAGATTAGCATACAATTTGATGAAATGGTTCATTTCCCTGTGAGTGGATTATTTTTCTCTTTATTTTTATTCAATTTAAGTTTTTAACAGATATTGTCAATTTGTTAAATTGATAGAATTCAAAAAAGTAAATATAAAATTGATATAATTAGAATTATATGGACCAAATTAACACAAAAGATAAATTATTATAGGTATAATTTGCCAAAAATCAATATATGACTTGTATTCATTACGAGTGTGGTGGTAACTTCTGTATGCACATTTATATGAATTTTCTAAGCATTAGTATTTCTTATAGTTCATTAATTAAATGGTAAAATCTTAACTTAATAATTTTGAGATTATGGATTCAAGTCACCGGACAATCACTTTGTACACTATGCTAAGGATTAGGTGTGTACCCAATCTTTTCCTTCCTAAACACACATTAATATGTACTAATTGATATAATTCTCATACTTTGTGTGTTCTCATCAATAGAGATTTCTTTTGCCGTTCAACCCAAAAAAAAAAAAATTAAGCTTTTTTTTTTTTTTTTTAAGTATTTCTTGTAAATGAACAAAAGATTCCAATAAATTGTCCTCATTTGCAAAGACAAATTAGTAGTTTTAAATCAAGAAACTGTACAGCTGGCTTTTTTTTCTTTTTCTTTTTTTTTGTATGAAAAGTGTGCTAAACAGAACACAGACATGGGGCAATTCCTCAATAACCCAAAAAACTTAGGAGTATATACTAGACAGTATAGACTATAGTAGATAGCAACAGCCAAGAAGAGTCTCCTAAGAAACAATATATTATTTTAAATATTTTCACAATAAAAAGCCAAACAAGACCTGTTTGTTTTTTCTTGTGTTTCTTGTCACAACAAGAGCTCTCTATCCTAACCAGAAATGAAGGAGAATTTCCTGGTTTTTGTCTTCCTCCAGGAACAGCAAATCCCAAGTTTTGTGTTTCATCCCAAAAAAAATATATATATATTAAAGAATAGGAATTAGAAACACACAAACACTTCCATTAGATAGAGCACCAACAACAAGAAAAAGAGAGAGAGAAAGAGAAAGAAAACAAAAGGCTATTGAAAAGAGAAGAGAAGAGAAGAGAAGAGAAGAAAGACAAAAGGCTTTTTTATCTTTCTTTCTCTTGTTTTGTTTTGGTTTTTTTTTTTTGTGTGGCTATCTTTCAATGTCCAACATCTCAGGTGATGATGGTGGGAGCTTCTCTTCTGGCAACACTTGTTTTTCACAACAACAAAAGCAATTTAATCACTTGAATGGATCAAACTTTGTGCCCTCTTCAAGTACCAGTAATAGTAATGGATCCACTTCTCAACAACAACAAGAGCAGCAGCCTCCAACTGTCAAGAAGAGAAGAAGTCTGCCAGGAAATCCAGGTCCAGTTAGTTCATTTCAATTGTTTTATTGTTTTATTTTTATTTTTTTTTCCTTGATTCCTATATATTAATTCTAGTCCATGTTTGAAATTTGATTCATCTTTCTTCATTCGATCGCTTCTCGGTGATTCAATCTAATAGAATTTTGATCTTTAGGGGCTAAACTAAAAGGAAATTGGAAAAAAAAAACACAAGTAATCCAATGTTTCTGGATACTATTTTTTATGAGTATTTCTACATATTTGCTGCGTAATTTTTTTTTTAATCTTTTGCCACTGGATCTATATCTAATGATAGTTCGAATTTTCTCTTAACAATAATTAATTGGTCTTATTGGTTTATGAAAATGGAAAATCAAAAATTTAACTTTTGAAAAGCTTCAAGTTGCATGTTTGGTAGTTAGTTCAAAGGTATTGTATTGCTTTGAAACAAAAATAATTAATAAATAAATAAATAAGAAATAAAATAGTGAACTTAGAGGATATAGATTTGATTATATCACAAGAAGGCCATGCAAGATAGTATCTTTTTGTTATTATTATTATTTTATTTTATTTTTTTGAGAAGACTTGTTGAGCTGAAAAAATAGGGTTTAGAAATGGAGAATTATTGGTGTGTAGTGTAGGTTGTTGAAGTGGTTCAATTATTGGATGGGGGGTTACAATAATTGGAGTAAACTGTTTGCTGGCCTACATTGCCTCTCCTTTTTCTCTTTATTTTTGTTTTTAACTCTTTCAGGAAATGAAATCATATATTCTTCTGCATGGAATCTCTCTGTCTCTCTGTGCCAAAGATTTTTTTATGGATATCCATATTGTTGATAAAATGTGTTTATCAACAGCTAATTACATAATTAGTAGATGAGACTAATTGTCTTCAAAGTTTAAATTGTTAAGAATCAAATTTAATATGCAACCAACATAATTAGTGGATGAGATTTAAATTGTTAAGAAAAAAGTTTATTACTGTATAACAATCCAACACTTTTTCTCACAAGCGAGTGTGAACTTAACTAGCACATTGAAAGAGGAGCATGGCAAGTGCATAAAACACACGAAAATATGCGCGCTCGTGCACACACACACACACACAAAAAAAAAAAGTACATTACAATTGTAGAAATAAGGAGACAACAAAATTTGAATTTGGGATTTTTTGAAACTAGAGGCCTTGGTACATCAAACTACAACTAGAATGTAAAAATAAATAAATAAAGTGACTCCACAAAAATAAATAAAGAATAAAATATTTTATGGGATGATGTTTTATTGTATTTGAGGATATCTCTTACAATTGAATTAAGAATATGAAATCAACAAATAATGTTCCAAACCTTTTCTTTGAGAAAAACAAAAAAATATATATAAAATAAAATAAAATTGCAACTATTTAATTGGATCAATCCAATATCATCGCTTCTAGATTTTAACTTCTCCATTTTCTTCTTTTCTTCCTTGTTGTTATCTTTTTTTTTTTTTTTTTTTTCTATCATAAGTAACGTTACTTATGATTGACCAAAGCAAGAAAACATTATGTAGTTAGCTATTGTCAATGAAAAATGAGAGGTGCATATAAACTTATCAGAAACAGTATGTACTCAAAAGAAATACCCAAAAAAAATACACAAAATGGTATAAATTTAAATTTAATGTAGTTGAGTAACATCTAAAATGAATCTAAACCATGCATTTCAAATTCCAAACATTTTTTTGTGTATTTTTTCCTGACTAAGTATCTTTTTTGTAAATTTATTAATATGGATTGAAATTAACTTATACATCACTCATTTCTTTTTTTTTGTTTTTCCTTTTTTTCTTTTTTTGGTTTTATGGAAATGTTCATGCAGACCCAAATGCTGAAGTCATTGCTCTATCACCAAAAACCCTAATGGCAACAAACCGATTCGTGTGTGAAATTTGCAACAAAGGGTTCCAAAGGGACCAGAACCTTCAATTACATCGGCGAGGGCACAATCTTCCATGGAAGCTTAAGCAAAGAACGAGCACAGAGATACGAAAGCGCGTCTATGTTTGCCCTGAAACTACCTGTGTCCACCACAACCCGGCACGAGCACTAGGAGACCTTACCGGCATTAAGAAGCATTTTAGTCGAAAACATGGTGAGAAAAAATGGAAATGTGAAAAATGCTCAAAGAAATATGCAGTGCAATCTGATTGGAAAGCTCATTCAAAGACTTGTGGTACAAAGGAATACAAATGTGACTGTGGCACCATCTTCTCCAGGTTTGTATCCAAATAAATGAAATAAAATAAAATAAAACCTTATTTTTCAATTGGAGAATGAAATTTAAAATATACATATAGATTAGTGCTTAAAATGACCCATCTTTCTCGAACTAGATTTTCCTTGTCATGGCACATCAATTTTTTTTTTTTTTTTTTTTTTTTTTTTTTTCCTTGTCATGGCACATCAATTTTTTTTTTTTTTTTTTCCTTTTGGATTCATTAGTTAGAGCCACATATGGTTTAAGGAGACTGGCATAGGTTTGGCATGGGATCCTACAATGTATCTAGAATTTTTTTTTTTCTAATTATCTGGTTTTTAGGGAATTCTATGTTGGCAATATGCCCAACTATAGGGACCTAAATACTTATACGGTTTTAAAAATAAGGAAATGGTGAAGAATTGAGAAAATATCATTGAATGAACACATAGCCACGTGGCTTTCCTGAGCCTGTCATTATTTATGGTCTCAATACACTCACAGTCATACAATATGATAAGAATCTTAAAATACACAAAATTTAAAGGTAATGGCTTGTCTATAGTTTGGGCATATACTGGAAAGTGTTATCCGAGCTTCAAGCTTGTGCCAAATTGGCATTTATTTTTAATATAAAATATAGATTTTGATTTTGTCTACTCATTAATATGATAAGGCTAGGTTTGACGTCCTTTAAAAAATTCAAAAAGTGACTATCCTATTTAAGGCACATTACCTCTCTAATACATCGCTTCAAACCTAACTCATATTTTATAAAAAGTCAAAAAGTACACTTACTTAGAACATCATAAACAATCCCTAAATATTGGGTCAATCATTTTACTTGAATCTAATATTGAGTTTGTAAATAAGTTAACAAAATTTGAATCATTAATTTACAAAAAGTATTGACTTGATGAGCATCGGTTTCTCATACTGAAAGTCTCTAAATTAAAAAGAAACTAAATCCAGTTTTACAACACGATGTTACAACTGAAAATGCATCGAGGGTTGAGATTTTAGGGATATGATCCCGTGCCGATAGATTTTTGCTTCTTAGTGTGAACTACTTCATCATTTAAAAGGCCAATGTTTTTATTTTAGGATAAATTATGTTGAAAATTCTTATATTTTCTTTCTCATGTTATTTTGATCCTTACACTTTTAATCTGTTTAATTTTAAATTTTGTATTAATTTGGTCCAATTGGCATGCCATTAGGATTTTTTTACGAAAAATAACAATAAGTTGTTTGAAGTTAACTTACTGAATTGATTAAGTTTATAATTTTTTTTCCTAAAAACATGATACATACTAGTCATGTACCTATTTTTCATAAAATAATGTTTAACAATTATAATTAATTGGACTAAATTAAGATCAAATAAAAAATTTAAGATCAAAATTAAACCAATTAAAATTACAAAAATCAACATAACATAAGAGTCAAAATATAAGAATTACGAATATAATTTATTTTGTTATTACAACTATTTGCAACTATAAATCATTCTTTAATGCTAAGCTGTTGTTGCTGAGCAATCGATCCTCCTCAATATATATGTAGTATATTCCAGATTTAAGCGCTAGGTGGCTTTGTCAATAGGCCTAGTTTGACGAATATGCTCGTAATAAAAAAGTGATTTTATTTGAAGTCTTGTCGTATCAATAATTAAATTTGTTTTGAACTAAATAATTAAACATATTTAAAATTAATATATTATATTACTAGGATGATTACTGCATACTACTACTTTATTTAATAGTAATAACAATTCACAATGCCTTGGCTAAAGTCTTTGTGGTCCGCATTCATGAATTTTGATAATTCTCATATATCCCATGTATTCTTCATTATATCATCTAATATAGAATATTTACCGAGAAATTTATCTAGAATATAGTCTAGATTTATTTTATATGTAAATTTCACGACATACAAATTAAATTTGAGTTACACCTAGGTGTAACTCAAATTTAATTTGTATGTTGTGAAATTTTAATTTGTATGTTGTGAAATTTACATATAAAATAAATCTAGATACTTCTCATTCTAATTAAAATTATGAGAAATTGTTTTTGGATATACAATTTTACCGCGAGTTTTATATATACACATGAATATTTTTGTATGAAATTATGAAAAACTGAAAGGAAAATTGAAATTTGTAAGAATGATATAGTATAGTAGCCTTTCTCTTCTTATATATGGTTTATAAAACAAAGACCAACTCATAACTCATTATTCTATTGTTTAACAGAAGAGATAGCTTCATAACTCAATTAAATTTGAGTTACACCTAGGTGTAACTCAAATTTAATTTGTATGTTGTGAAATTTTAATTTGTATGTTGTGAAATTTACATATAAAATAAATCTAGATACTTCTCATTCTAATTAAAATTATGAGAAATTGTTTTTGGATATACAATTTTACCGCGAGTTTTATATATACACATGAATATTTTTGTATGAAATTATGAAAAACTGAAAGGAAAATTGAAATTTGTAAGAATGATATAGTATAGTAGCCTTTCTCTTAACCCACAAGGGTAGCCCAGTTGGTTGAGGCCAAGGGACTTGGGGCCTAGGAGTTTGCTCCTCTCTAGGTCTCAGGTTCGAATCCCACTCCCAACTGTGCTCCTAGCGGGCCACTGCGTCTTTGCCTGGTCGATCGGCTCAGGGCCCCGAGATTAGTCGAGGTGCGACACTCCGAAGGAGTGCTGGCCCGGACACTCGGTCATCAAAAAAAAAAAAAAAAAAAAAAAAAAAAATAGTAGCCTTTCTCTTCTTATATATGGTTTATAAAACAAAGACCAACTCATAACTCATTATTCTATTGTTTCACAGAAGAGATAGCTTCATAACTCACAGAGCATTCTGTGATGCCCTGGCTGAGGAAAACAACAAAGCAAACGAAGGCCATCATGGCCATATCCCAGATCTCATCACCACCACCACCACCACCAACACTGCGCCACCGCCTATGAACACCACCTCCATCACATTACCTGAATTTACCCAACTTGACATCAAAATACCTATAAAGCCAATAATACCTCCAAAACCTGTAAACCTATCAGCAGCAAATGGAAGCATCTTCCCAAGTACTACTAACTCAAACACCCTCTTTGGCAGCCCAAGACCACCCATCTCTCCTTCCTCCTCCACCCTCCAGCTCAGCAGCGCTGTCAACTCATCGCTATGCTCCTCAGCTGCGGCTGCCATGTCAGCAACCGCCTTGTTGCAGAAGGCAGCTCAAATGGGTGCAACTGCAAGTTCTAATATGAACTCACCGATGATGCAGAAGAGTTTTGTTACGAGCATGGCGCCTTCATCGTTCAATGGAATGCCACCATACGATCATCAGATTCATCGTCATATCCAAACACAAAATTATCATCATCATCATGAGCAATCACAATCACTTCTGGCTGGTGTCATTGGTGGATCGTTTGCCACCCAATTCAATATGGGAAGGTACATAGGAGGACTGAATAATCAAAACCATGGATTTTTGGGAAACCTGGAAGAGAATGATAGCGATCATAATGTTTTACAAGGTAGTACGCCTGAGAGTAGGACCGAATTGTTTTCAAGTTTTATGGGTAGCAATGGACACGATGATATGACAACAGTTGATTATTTAGGGATTGGAGGAACAAGGCCGAGGAATTTTCATGGACAACAAAACCATGGAGGAGTGGAGGAGTATGAAGCAATGAGTACACAGCAGAGAATGCAAGGTTTGAGTCAATTTCAACAACAACAAATGTCTAGTGGGCAAGTAACATGTGAAAAATCAATGTGGAATGTTTGAAATTATGATTATGTATTTGTTTTTTTGGTGTAACTCAGGTATTATGGAAGAAGCAGCAATAATGTCTTGCTGCAAATAAGACAATTAGGGCACAACAATGCTCTCAAAACTATTTTTTTTAATCATATTTTATTTATTATCTTATATGTCAACATTATATTGATAATTAACAAGCATTTATTTTATTTATTATCTTATATGTCAACATTATATTGATAATTAACAAGCATTATTAGTAATGAGAAGTTGTAAATCAATGCAGTATTGACATATAAAATAATAAATAAAATATAATAAGAAAATGTGATCGCGATAATGGCATTGTTAGAGGGCGTTGGGCTTGTAAGAGCAATTCAAACTCTTTGATTGCACAAGTGTAACTGTATACTAGAGCTGATTTCAAAGAATCATAGTGTTTTTCGATATCACGTAGGTTGAAAGGGTCATATTTATCAGACTTTCGAATTGAATGTGGTTTTCTTAGGATTTCCTTTTAATCTTCCACTTCCATCAAATTTTTTCACAAATGACTTCAATTTTTTATTTGTAAAAGATAAAATAAAAAATGAGCAACTTTATTTGCTTTTTCTTTCTCTTTATTTTTTCTTTCCTAAATTCAAAATCTAAACATAACTTGTGTAAAAAAATAATTAATATAATAAAATCATTCTGAATCAAATGCGAAAATATCTTATGTCACCACAGTGGTGTATCCTCTTCTCTCTCTCTCAAACATGTAGGCATCATAAAGGTAGGGTATGCATGCTTGTGCAAAAATAATTAAAAAAATGAATACATGCTCCACTGTTCGTTACACAAAATACCACCTCTAGTCATACAGTAAAAACTTTGTTACAATAGCCTCAATTAACAATGATGCAATTTTTTCCCAAACCTTTATATTCTTTCTATGTTTTTCATAAAATTTTCTTTCTTTTTTTATTAGCAAAAAAGGACTTTGTTGATGAAAAAACAAAGTACAAGGTACAATACACTTACATCAATAAAGTGAGGCGAGTGCAAAAGTATCACGATGAGCAAAATCATCCCAACTAGGTTGGCATGAAGAACCCATCCTATCATTTGCTAGCACCCCCAAATTGGTGAGCAACTAACCAAAGAAACAAACAAAGCAAAAACAAAAACAACACAGCCACACCACACACAGCACACCAACTTAGCCACCATTCCTGTGCAGTACTACTGCACATGTTGCAAATTCAACACAATATCGTTGACAGAGAACACCACAGAGGTTGGAGAGGCCTGGATCTATAATGCTATTCTCACCTTAACAAGGTCGCACAATTCATCCAAGTTTGGTTGAGTACCATTGAACACTCCTATGCTTCCAAGTGAGCCAGAGAGTAGCTAGGGAAAGGGAAGAGCCAACCAAATTTTCTTTTCCAACTTTTTTATTTTGCAACCAGACCACCACAGCAGTAGCCCATTCACAAAGCCAGGCAAGACCCACTAAAAACCCCACCATCTTACAATATTTGACCAAAGCATCCATACAAAAAGGCAAAAAAAGAAGAACATGACCCACTGATTCAACCTCATTTTGACAAAAGACACAAGCAAGATTAACATTACCACCCAAAATACCAATTCTATGAAGAAAACTAGCAATTTTAACCTTTCTAAGCCAAGCCATCCATCCAAAAAATTGCACTTTTGGTGGAGCACAATTGTTCCAAATTAATCCTGTCATGTCCAAAGCAACCCCAGACTAGCCTCACACCAATTATAAACTAAAGAAATACTAAGCACTCCTGAAGAATCTGCAGCTCATAACAACTCATCTAGATTATTGTTACAAAGCAAAGGTGCAATTCTAAGTAAAGTTGAGAGTCTAACCACCTCCTCCTCATCCCAAGCCAGTAATGGTCTTCGAGCACTTCCTTTAGCCTCTCGGTATGGAGTATAAAATATTCTTTCTTCTAAAAGTAAAAAGAAAAAAAGGGTAAATTCTAGCTTTTGATAGAGAATAAGATCTACATCATGTTATTTTTACATTGATTATCACTAATTCAACCAACTAAAGATGACCATTTTTGCTATCATCTTGATTAGTAATTATGTAGTTACATATTACAAGAATTTATATTTAATGGATTATAATATATATATATATATATATATTTGTGTGAATTTATGAACTATTTGATTCTTCTTTTTTTTTTTTCTTATGGACTCAAAGGTCTCATTTTAGTGTGAATTACATAAAAGTCCAAAATGTGGATTTTCTCATAATGTTGAAATTATTAAACGTAACACTTCAAAGAAAACTTCTTAGTGTATTTTTTTCAAACCTAATACTTCAATGTAACACTCAAAAAACATGACACTTCAATGTAACACATTAAAAAATTCTTTAATGTATTTTTTCCTAACATTTTTTTTTGAACGGCGAAAAAGAAGATCTTTATTGATGAAACATACAAGTATGACAAAATACATCAATAAAGAGGAGCTCGAAGCTAACACAAGCTTAGAGCTCCAGTTGGCAAGGAGCCAACAAGAAACAGAGAAGAGAAGGACCAAAACAGAACTGAAACAGAACTGAGCTGGCCATGGACAACACCTGCAACCAAGAAACAGAACTGATTACAACAGCAACCAGATTACAAAATGCAGCCAAGAACCAGATTACACAGCAGAATTACACATGGACAGCAGCAATCAAACACAGCAGAATTGCACAGACAGCAACCAAACCACACAGACAGTAGAATTACACAGATAGCAGCAAACCAAACACAACAGAATTGCACTACCCAGAAAGCCTGAACATATCAGATAGCAACTCAAGAGCGTATGCAGTGCCTAACATATCAGATAGAAACTCAAGAGCGTATGCAGTGCCTAACACCTGAAGCGTTGAAGAGAAAATCATTGATGGAGAATGGAAAGTGTTTGGAAGAGGACTTTAACCATATCGCTAACCTGATAATGATGAGTTCCTGCAGCTGCTGGGTGTTAAGTTGGGAGGCTTGAAAGAGACACTCATTTCTGATCTTCCAAATGGACTAGAGGGTGACCAAAGGGATGGCACGCCAGATTTTTCCTCTCCTTTTTCTTGCAATTGAATCCTGCCCACCACTGCAGCAGATTTTCAACAGAGGCAGGAACCACCCAGAGAATACCCCACCAATGTAATAACCCAGTCCAAACTTTCCACACCAAAGGGGAGTGAATTAGAACGTGCTAGACAGTTTCATGCTGCGAGTTACAGAAAAGACATGAGGTGGAAGCCGACCTATCCAAGACACCAATCCGTTGCAAGAAGACAGAAGTTTTAACCTTGTGTTTCCAAGCGAGCCAACCGAAGAATTGTATTTTGGGAGGCAGAT